ATACCCAAAGCTACAGGCAGTCTATTAAAAGAAGAACTGGTGTTGCCTAGGAAGTGGGGGGTAGTCTTATACAGCGAATATAGGCTTAAACCTTATACGCCGGAAAATACGGTAAGACTTAACTACAAAAGGCTGTACACACAGTCCACAAAGGGGTGCACCAAGATAACTGGGAGGCTGACCCACTGAACCATATAGGACACCTTAACACACAAAGCCGCCCTACCAACTCAGGGAAGCAGCGAAAATGCCAAGACAAGGAAACAGATCACAAACAAAAGAAATGGAGGACAAGAAGCAACTGGATATAGAGTTCAAAACCACGCTTATAAGGTTTTTCAAGAGTTCCTAGAAAAGGCCGATAAAATAAATGAGATCTATGAGAATATGAAAAGGGATCAACTAGAAATAAAGAATACATTGTCTGAAATAAAAAAATATTATACAGAGTCCTAAAAACAGAATGGAAGATCGCAAGAATCAAGTCAAAGATTTGGAACACAAAGAGTCAGAGGACACTCCTCCACAGAAGCAAGAAGACAAGAGAATCCAGAAAGTTGAAGATAGTGTAAGAAACCTCTGGGACAACTTTAAGCAAACCAATATCAGAATTATGGGGGTCCCAGAAGAAGAGAGAGAGCAAGATACCTAAAACATACTGAAAGAAATAGTGACAGAAGACTTCCCCCACCTAGGGAAAGAAATAGACTTACAAGTCCAGGAAGCACCATAGGACCCCAAGCAAAAGGAACCCAAAGAGGAACACACCAAGACACATCATAATTAAAATTCCAAGAGCAAAAGACAAAGAGAGAATATTATTGTAAAAGCAGCAAGAGAAAAGCAGGTAGTTACCTATAAAGGAGCACCTATACGACTGTCAGCTGATTTCTCAACAGAAACCATGCAGGCCAGACAGGAATGGCAAGAAATATTCAAGGTGATGAATAACAAGAACCTACAGCCAAAAATACTGTACCCAGCAAAGCTATCACTCAGAATCGAAGGCCAGATAAAGAGCTTCACGAATAAAAAAAAGCTAAAGGAGTTCATCACTGCCAAACCAGAATTATATGAATTGCTGAAGGGGGTTCTTTAGGAAGAGGAAGAAAATAAAGATAAAAATTGTGAACAACAAATATGTAACTATCAACAAGTGAATCTAAAAAAAAAAAAAAAAAAAAAACCTGATGAACAATATTAACTGTTGAATATAATAGAATCAGAGGTATGGACTGATGATTCTTAGAGAAAAGAGGAGTGGGGGGTGCGGGAAGAGACTGAACATCAACTGTGCACCTATGGATGAGGACAATGGGGAATGGGGAAAGGGCAGAGGGTGGGGTGGGAACCTGGTGGAGAGGGGGGGGGAAATGAGGAACATTTGTAATAATATGAACAAAAAAGATTTATTAATTAAAAAAAAAAAAAGCTCTGCCTCCTAGGCAGCCATTGGCAACTCACCCAGATTTGGTTCTAATTGGTTGGTTTCTATGATAGTCAGCATCTCCTGGCCTATCTCCATACCTGATCATAGAGACAGGGCTGATCAGCAGCCACCAAAAGCTGCTGTCAAGCAGGCTGAACTGCTAACCTCTGAGAGAGACAGAGGCTTGGCTGCTGCTGCTGATCAACCCCATCCTCTCTCTCCAAGAGGTCAGCATGTCAGCCTGCTCACCTCCTGCACCTGCAGCTTGGCATTCAGTTGAGCCTTCTGTTGTTTTGGATGTTACAACTCTGGCTCTTTATATCCTACCTTATAAAAGAGTAATATGCAAATTAACCATCACTCTGCTCAGGCCACACCCACCATCCAATCAGAGAGAGTATGTAAATTAACCCCAACCAACATGGCTTCAGCCACAGAGAGCAGTTGAGAAAGGCTTAGGTTTCCCAGCAACAGAAGCCAAGCTTTCCACACACCCTGGCCTGCCTAAGCCTCCACTCAAGGATACAAAGTTTCAATTATATAAGGTATATAAGTCCCAACAGAAATGGCTAACGGCCACAGATCAAGCAGGGGGCTTGGCTCCATTCCAGGCTATAAAGTTTCAATTGTAGAAGGTAAATAAATTCCAGATACCAGGGCCTCCACTTGGGTCACCAGAGGGCGTAGTGGGCCTGCAAACCACCACAGGCCCCTCACCCAGGTCACCCCACACCCCATGAGAACCCCCACCCTGATCTGGGACACCCTTCAGGCAAACCAGCTGGCCCCCACCCTTGCACCAGGCCTCTATCCTATCTAATAAAATACAATAGTAATATGCAGATAGACCATCACTCCAACACACAAGATAGCTGCCCCCCTGTGGTCAAAGATCCTGCCCCTATGTGGACACAAGATAGCCAGCAGGGAAGGGCAGTTAGGAGGCACCAGGCCTGCAAGGGCTGGCAGTTGAGAGGGACCAGGTCTGCAAGGGAGGGCAGTTGGAGGCAATCAACCTTGCAGGGGAGGGCAGTTAGGGGTGACCAGACTGGCAGAGGAGGGAAGTTTGAGGCAACAGGCTGGCAGGGGAGAGTTAGACATCAATCAGGCTAGCATGGGAGTGGTTAGGGGTGATCAGGCTGGCAGCAGAATGGTTATGGGAAATCAGGAAGGCAGGCAGGCGAGCAGTTGGGAGCCAGCAGTCCTGGATTATGAGAGGGATGTCCAGGCAGTTTAATATCCCTGGAGGTGTCCCAGATTGGAGAGGGTGCAGGCTGGGCTGAGGGACAACCCCCCACCCCGTGCACAATTTCTTGCACTGGGCCTCTAGTATATAGATAATTGTGATATGTTATGCTATTTCTTTTAGAGTTTTTAAAACAGCTATTTTAACTCTTTAAATTTGACTCTCTGAAATGAGGTTAGTAATACTATTATTTATTTCACAGGACTAGAGTCTCAGTGCACAAAATTCGTGGACTGGTAGGGTCCCTAGCAGCTGCTGGCTGCCAGCCAGGGCCTCCCTTCCCTGGCTGACAGCTGCCAGCCTGGGCCTCCCTTCATTCCACACCACACCCTAGTGGTCAGCACACATCATAGCAAGCAATCGAACTCCCAAGATTGGTCAAACTCCCAAGGGGACACTTTGAATATTAGGCTTATATATATATAGATTATTTTAATGAGATACTTTTAGTTACTGTACTAACTTATTAATTGAGATTAAATCAGATCAAACATTTAAGCATTTAACAAGTTATCTAGCATGTACTTAGTGCTTAAATATCAGCAGTTTTATTAAGTAAATATCAGCAGTTACTTACTGCTAAGTAAATATCAGCAGTTTTATTATTATATTATTATATTTCATAAATATTTTATTACTGATAGTCCAATTTTTTGACTAAGAACCCAAAATCTCTATTACCTGCAGCACAAGATAATTATATCCTTGGTTCTCAATAAACAATTATGGAGCACCTACAATCTTAATTTCAAAGGTTTAAAAAGTATCTATCTCCATTACATTAAAAATGAGGAAATTAACAGCTCAACTGATTACTGATATTCCAGAGTGCTTAATTTTATAGCAATTAATTTTTTAGGTTAGCCTGACATCTAGTGGAATGACTATAGCTATCCAAAACATTAAAATACATACTTTTTTTTAAAAAAACTTGACATTGCATTAAAAGAAAGGGCAGTATCTTATGTAAAATGTTTAAAATAAAAAGTAAAATCAGCATGAGTATTGCCTATGTCAGGCATTGTACTAAATGCTTTCGTACACATTTCTCAATCATTTATTTGTTCAAAATCAGTTTTTAGTACCTGCTATGTGGTAGGCACTTAGACAGAATTTTTAAAAAGCAGATATGATCCCTGTTTTTTTGGAGTTCATTGACTAGTGGAGAATAAGTTATTAAACTAATCATTATATAAATTAATAAAATTATAAATTGTGTTTGAATCTAAGAAGCACTTTAGAAGAGAATCTTAAATTTAGTAGGGAGTTTGTTTTAGGAAGGGCCTCTCTGATGAAGTGATGTGAACCAATGTCTAAAGAATAAATAGGAATGGGCATTTAAGACAGAGGGAATAACATATATGAAGTTCCTGGGGTGGAAAAAGGTTTGTTGAGCAAATAATTAAAAGGACAGTAGGGCTATAGTTGCAAGGGAGACAGCAGGAGCAGATGAGCTTAGAGAGGTATAAGCAGGGCCTGTTTTGTTTGTTTCTTTAAGCAGGTCAATGGCCCTGGCCCGGTGGCTCAGTCAGTTAGAGCATTGTCCCATGCACTGAAAGGTTGCCAGTTCCCTTCCAGATCAGGGCACATACTTAGGTTTCAGATTTGATTCCCTAACTGGGGTGCTTATGGGAGACAACCAAGTGATGTTCCGCTTGCTTGCTTTTTTCTCTCTCTCTCTCTCTCTCTCTCTCTCTCTCTCTCTCTCTCTCTCTCTCTCTCTCTCTTTCTCCCTCCCTCCCTCCCTCCCTTTTCCTCTTCCCCTTCCTCTCCCTCTTTTCCTTGCTCTGAAATCAGTAAAAAAAATATCGTTGGGTAAGGATTATTTTTTTTAAGTTAGGTCAATGTTAAGGACCCAGGATTTATCACTTTATCATAGGTATAAATGAAGCCATTTGAAGTATTTAAACAGGGCGAGATATATGATGAAATATATGGTTATAAAAGAACACTCTGGATCCAATTGTGAAATGAATAGAAAGGAGGTGAATGTGAATGTAAGAACAATTAGGACCAATTGGGAAAATATTTCAATAGTTAATAGATGGTTAGAGCTCAGACGAAGGTGGTTGCTGTCAAGTTATAAACAGGGTGTGGTAAAAGTAAGTTTACACTTTATTTTTCTATTATTACTTATTGTATTATTTTTCCATACAAATAACTGTAAACTTACTTTTGCCTCACCCTGTATTTTTTTTTTTTTTTTTTACTAATAATTGGCACTTTTGATTGTGTGCTAGGCATTTACATTCATTATCTCATTTAATCCTCACAGCGGCCATATGAAGTAAGTATTGTTAATATCTTGGTTCTACAGATTAAAAAACTGAGGCTCGCCTTTCCGGCCGGAACCGCCATCTTCCAGGTCAGCCCTGCGCGTGGCTCCCGGCGGCCGTGGTTGTACAGATTCAGTAATTCGCCAAAATGACTAACACAAAGGGAAAGAGGAGAGGCACCCGCTATATGTTCTCTAGGCCTTTTAGAAAACATGGAGTCGTTCCTTTGGCCACATACATGCGAATCTATAAGAAAGGTGATATTGTGGACATCAAGGGAATGGGCACTGTTCAAAAAGGAATGCCCCACAAATGTTACCATGGCAAAACTGGAAGAGTCTACAATGTCACCCAGCATGCAGTGGGCATTATTGTGAACAAGCAAGTTAAGGGCAAGATTCTTGCTAAGAGAATTAATGTACGTATTGAGCATATTAAGCACTCTAAGAGCCGAGATAGCTTCCTGAAACGTGTGAAGGAAAATGATCAGAAAAAGAAGGAAGCCAAAGAGAAAGGTACCTGGGTTCAATTGAAGCGTCAGCATGCTCCACCCAGAGAAGCACACTTTGTGAGAACCAATGGAAAGGAGCCTGAGCTGCTGGAACCCATTCCCTATGAATTCATGGCATAAGTGGGAAAAAATAAAGACTTCTGTGCTGATAAAAAAAATTAATTAATTAATTAATTAATTAATTAAAAAATAAATAAATAAATAAAAAATAAAAAACTGAGGCTCATAGTCAAAGACAAGTACAATATGATTTCCCTCACGTGTGTAATTTAATGAACAAAATGAACTACTAAACAAAATAGAGACATACTCAGAGCAGGCAGCTTTGGAAGGGAGAGAAAGGGTAGGTGGAGGGATTAAGAAAAAAAGAGAGAGAACTCACGGACGAGGACAGCAGTGTGGTGATTGCTGGGGGGAGAGAGGTAGGTGTGGAAGAGGGTTTAGAGGGGATAGATAGTGATGGGAAAAAATAAAATGACAGGAGCAGATGTAGGCAGGCTGGAAAGGATGTTTCCATTCTCCCTTCTCCAGGAAAACAGTTCTCTGGAGTGTATTAGTGGTCTTTCAGTACCTAAATCTGTGGAATTTTCTGTTCCCATTTTCTGGTGGAATATTTAGTACTGTAGATCATTTCCTTCTTTAAAACTCTCTAGTCCCTTTTTAAAGTAGGGGGGTAGGGGAAGTCTAAAAAAAATAATATAATGAATTCCCATACACACTAGCTTAAGTAATCCAAATAAAACTCCAAATCCACTTATTCCCTTATCCCATATAGACAATCACTATTTTTAATTAGGTGTTTCTGTGTTTTATGCTTTCTTTTATCATTTTACCACTTATGTATATTGTACAGGTATCATATGAATACATGTATAACGTGTATGAATAAATATTTAAACAATGTATACTACTGATGTGAATATTTTAGTCTTTCAATGACAATTTGTGATAGATAATTGTTTTCAGTCTGTTCAAAAGTGCTAATTTGGAAACTCCTAAGGGATAGTTTAGTTGCATATAAATTCTAAATTTATTGATTTCTTTTCTCCCTCAGCTCTTTGAAGAAAGGTACTATTTAATCAACTTCTGGCTTCCACTATCATTCTTGAGAACTCTGTTGCTGCTCTATTTAATAGTTATTTGTAGGTAATCTGTCTTTTATATTTTACTAGAGGCTCAGTGCACAAAATTCGTGCACTTGGAGGAGTCCCTCAGCTCAGCCTGTGCCCTCTCATAGTCTGGGATTCCTTGGGGGACATCTGATTGATGGCTTAGACACATGGGTAGCAGGCTTAAGCCAGCAGTCAGACATCCTTAATACTGCTGCAGAGGCGGAAGAGACTCCTGCCACTGCCTGCCGCTGTACTTGCCAGCCATGAGCCCAGCTTTTGGCTGAGTGGCACTCCCCCTGTGGAAGTACACTGACCACCAGAGGCAGCTCCTGCATTGAGCATTTGCCCCCTGGTGGTCAGTGTGCATCATAGTGATCAGTCATTCAACTGGTTGGTCAATTTGCATATTTTCCTTCTAAGCCTGTCAGACTGGGCCAAAACTGGCTCTCCAACATCCTCCGAAGGGTCCCAGATTGTGAGAGGGTGCAGGCCAGGCCGAGGGACTCCACCAGTGCATGACTGACTCCAGGGAGGGATATAGGAGATTGGCCAGTTGGGGAGGGACGTAGGAGGGCTCCAGGGCATGTCCAGCCCATCTCACTCAGTCCCAATCAGCCAGGCCCCACAGCAAGTTAACCTACTGGTCAGAGCATCTGCCCCCTGGCACTCAGTGCATATTATAGTGACTGGTCAACTGACTGACTGTCTGTCTCCTGGTGGTCAGTGCACATCATAGAAAGCAGTTGATCTGCCTTAGCATATTATTAGCATATTATGCTTTGATTGGTTGAATGGACAACCAGACACTTAGCATATTAGGCTTTTATTATATAGGATTCATTTTTAGATTTTACCTTTGTCTTTGCAGTAGTACCATTTCATGCCCATCATGTACTTCTTTTTATTTATTTTGCTGTGACTCCTGATTATTGACTTTGAGACATAATTTTATCAATCCTAGAAAATTATCAACCATTCTATCATCAAATTTATCCCTCTTCTTTCTTATCTTGCTTTCTGAAAATCGTATTGGATAATATTCTGAACTTTCTCTCTCTTCGTTCTTCTTAATTCATGTTTTGTTTTTGTTTTTGTTTTTTGTTTTGTTTTTTTTTTATAATAAAGTTCTGGCTTTATTTAAGAATGTGATTAGATAGTAGAGTCACTGTCTGAAGTAGTCAATGAAAGCACTCATACATTAAAAGGAAACATATATTCAAATTAGGAGAATACAATAATATACAATGACAGGGAATAGAGAAGGGGCTATTGACCAGTTTAACCAGTGAGACTGAAGAACATTTCATAGTGGTAATCTTTGAACAGGGTTCTTAAGCTTTTGTGTGTGTGTGTGTAGGACTGTAGGCAAAACAGGAATATGTGAAAAAACATGTGGCATATTTAAGAAAAATAAATAGTTAAGTATTTGTAATATAAGATGTCTTAGGAGAAGTCTATGGACATGAGCTAGATGTGGATCAGCAAGTCTAGGCATTATATGCCAGAAATAAGAATTTTAACATCATCCCACAAGCAATAAAAAAAAACAAAAACATTAAAAGTTTTAAACAATGAATAATTTAACTAAATTTGTGTTAATTCTTAGGGTAGAGGCAGAGGTGGAGGTGGAAAAATCTGGAAAGACAATAGACCAGGTAGAACATCAATCTTTTGGGCATAAATTTCCAAAATAATCTGGAAGATATACTGCAATCTGTAAATATTTGTTGAACATGCATGTGGTTAAAGATAAAACTGACACAGGACGAGTCTTTCAAATAAGCAAATTTGGTACATGATGGTATAATTGATAAAACAAGATTAAATAGAATCTGTGTTAATGTATATGGCACAAAAATAGGAGAAAGTAGGAAGAGAGAGTGAATAAACACTAAAGTAATATGTTTTGTTTTGTTTTGTTTTGTTTTAAGATACTTTTGATAAATTTCCTAATTTATAAGTAGTAGGGTAAATTTTGATTATGAGACCTAATTTATAAGGAGTAGGGTAAATTTTGTTTAATAGTAAAATATTGCTCAATAAAATCTATTATAGTATTTATCAATACATCTATCATAGCATTCTTTAGATACAAGCACAGAGCTGTCGAATTTGTAATTAAATGAAAATTTAAAGAGATAATAAGGTTATATCAGCATTTGAGTTATACGGCCACCACATGCAATCTCTGTGTTAATTCATGCTTTTCATTTCCTATTTCTCCATGCTGCCTTCTATATAATTATCTCAGAACTATCTACCATTTACTAGTACTTTTCATCTGTACCTAATAAACTATTAATCAGGCCATAATATTTTATTTTAATGACTGTATTTTAATTTTTTAATATGTGTTCTTAGTTTCACAGTCTTACTATTTTCTTTAGATATTAATCTTCCTTTCCTTCTCACTCTGTATATCTCCTAATGGAAATCTTACCTATTATATCTATGCAAATGCTCCAAAGTCTATCTCTAACTCAGTATTCTCTCCCAAGGTTTAATTACATATTCCAATTAACTTCTAAAAGTTACCAAATGTTTCATGTCTTATGCTATAAATTCTACCTGACTACTCTATGAGTAGTGGAGTAATAATGTGCCCTTTCAGTGACTTTCTACAGCCCTTATTTGTTCTATTCAATTAATACTTGACAATATACAGCCTCAGAGTTGGTTTTATTTGCATATGAATAAAATTATATTATATCCCTCAAAGAATAAGGACCATATTTAGTGCTTTTTAGCAAAACTTTAAATATCTTTAACTCTAACCACAACCACTTGAATGCCTTCAAAGCTAGACCTTCTTAGATTTGACTTCCCATACCTTATTTGTACCTGTCCTTTAATAGAAGAAACAATCTTACATTGGTTGATGTCCTCCATCAAATTTACCATAGGGTAGGGGTGTCGAACTCAATCAGAGAAGGGGCCAAAATCTAAAATCCAGCCTAAATCGCGGGGCCGAATGGTTTACTGAACAGTCATAAACTGTCATTGTGATGGAAACGCAGCGGAGTGCAGTGATGACAGCGCACAGCGAGGTGCGGGCCACATTGCAAGGCCTGGCGGGACGGATTTGGCCCACGGGCCTTGTGTTTGACACATGTGCCATAGGGATTGTTCATAATATGTATTTGATTGTTGATGTAATTGGTAAATAACACATAAGTGGGATCTTTTGAAATTTCCTTGGAAATATAAGAGTTTAAATTTATACCACTTCCATGCTCAAACCATCAGTGAATGACTGATATGTACCTTTCAATGTAGAAAGCTTATTGCTAACACAAGTTATATTAACCTAAATTAAAACAATGTGGCTTAACCTATTATTTTACTCTTCCTTTTAGTCTTCATCCCAAGTTACAAAGTAATATGACTATCTAAAATATAAAACAAGGAGAAACCAAGATGTCGGCATAGGGTAGACACCTGAATGCAGCCTACCACAACAAATTTGAATTTAGAGCTGGAAAACAGGGAAAACATCACCCCGAAGCACCGGATGGCTGGCTGAAAGGAGGCCCTACCATCTGGGAAGGAGAGAGAAGGTCCTCTGAACCTCGGGAACTGAGAAGGTGCGGAGAACTGTGCGCGCGAAAAGGTGGCTGCCAGACTTCGCTGCTGGCTTTCTTGCGGAGCGCAAAGAGGGCGGGCTGAGTTCGCTACTGACAATGCTCTGCTGGCTTTCTTGTGTGGAAGGAAATGCTCTGCTGGACAGCTAATGCTCTGCTGGCTTTCTTGTGTGGAAGGAAAACAGAACCACCCTATTGCTCTGATAGATGGCCCCAGAAAGAGAGAGGCCAGACTGTCAGGCAGTGGGCAGAGATCTCTCGGAGGTGTGTGAAGCCAGCAGCCATTACTGCGGGACTCAGAAACCAAACCCTCGTAGGGAGGGGCTCACCAAAGCTTGTCTGCACCACCTAGAGACTCCGTCCCATCCAAGCTGAGCACAGAAGCCCTTCCAGTGGCTAGCTTTCTCGTTCACCGTGAATAGGACTCTCTTAGGGAGGGACAGACAGGAATCCAAAGCTTGTCTGCGCCTATACCAAAGAGGTGCACAAGCCTGCAACCAATCTTGCGGGATTCACCAAAGCTAGGCTGTGCCACCCCATCCAAGCGGAATACAGAAACCCTCCTAGCTGAGACACTTCTGATCCTCATAGCCAATTGGCTTAGAGATCAACGCTTCCCAGTGATACCAACAACAAGCAAGGCTTAACAGCAAGATTGCACACACAGCCCACAAAGGGCTACACCAAGACTGTCCACCTCAGATAACTGGGAGACTGACCTACTGAACCATATAGGACACCTTAACACACAAAGCCACCTTACCAACTCAGGGAAGCAGAGAAAATGCTGAGAAAAGGAAACAGATCACAAACAAGAAATGGAGGACAAGAAGCAACTGGATATAGAGTTCAAAACCACGTTTATAAGGTTTTTCAAGAGTTTCCTAGAAATGGCCGATAAAATAAACGAAACCTATGAGGTTATGAAAAGGAATCAACTAGAAATAAAGAATGCATTGTCTGAAATAAAAAATATTATACAGAGTCCTAAAAACAGAATGGAAGATCGCAAGAATCAAGTCAAAGATTTGGAACACAAAGAGTCAGAGGACACTCCTCCACAGAAGCAAGAAGACAAGAGAATCCAGAAAGTTGAAGATAGTGTAAGAAACCTCTGGGACAATTTCAAACAAACCAACATCAGAATTATGGGGGTCCCAGCAGAAGAGAGAGAGCAAGATACCTAAAACATACTGAAAGAAATAGTGACAGAAAACTTCCCCCACCTAGGGAAAGAAATAGACTTACAAGTTCAGGAAGCGCCATAGGACCCCAAGCAAAAGGAACCCAAAGAGGAACACACCAAGACACATCATAATTAAAATTCCAAGAGCAAAAGACAAAGAGAGAATATTAAAAGCAGCAAGAGCAAAGCAGGTAATTACCTATAAAGGAGCACCCATACGATTGTCAGCTGATTTCTCAACAGAAACCATGCAGGCCAGACAGGAATGGCAAGAAATATTCAAGGTGATGAATAACAAGAACCTACAGCCAAAAATACTGTACCCAGCAAAGCTATCACTCAGAATCGAAGGCCAGATAAAGAGCTTCACGAATAAAAAAAAGCTAACGGAGTTCATCACCACCAAACCAGAATTATATGAATTGATGAAAGGGGTTCTTTAGGAAGAGGAAGAAGATATAGATAAAAATTATGATCAACAAATATGTAACTATCAACAAGTGAAACTAAAAGCCAAGGGAATTAAAAAAAAACAATATTAACTGTTGAATATAATAGAATCAGAGGTATGGAAGGGGAGTGGACTGATAAACAATATTAACTGTTGAATAATAATAGAATCAGAGGTATGGAAGGGGAGTGGACTGATGATTCTTAGAGAAAAGAGGAGTGGGGGGTGCAAGAAGAGCCTGAACAAAAACTGTGCACCTATGGATGAGGACAATGGGGGATGGGGAAAGGGCAGAGGGTGGGGTGGGAACCTGGTGGAGGGGAGCAACAGAGGGGGGGGGGAAATGAGGAACATTTGTAATAATATGAACAATAAAGATTTATTTTTTAAAAATAAAATAAAATATAAAGCAAAATTATAATCAAGCTTCATTTTACAGTGGATTCAGTACTCCCAGTGAAAACATGGGCATAAAAGGCAAGATAATTTTAGAAACTTTGAAAGAGAATACTATAGCCAGTAACCTAGGACTTTTTCTTGGGATCAAAGGTTAGGGTGAACTAAATTATTCCAAGATTCTAAGCATAATAAGAAAGAAATTATGTCTTCCTGAAGTAAGCTTGTTAGGGAGTATCTATGGCAAGTAAGGTGGATTTGTGTCAAAAGCTAATTTGTTTAGTTTTTTTGTTTAAAACTAGAGGCCTGATGCATAAAATTCGTGAAAGAGCAGGCCTTCCTTTCCCCGGCTGCCATCACCGGCTCCCCTCTGGCACCAGGGTCCTGGGCTTCCCTCTGGCCTCCAGCAAGCAGGCACCCAGGACCCAGGCTTCCCTCCAGACTCAGGCTTCCCTCATAGCCCTGGCTTCATCCAAAAGGTCTTCCAAAAGGACTTCTGGTCTAACTGGCATATTACACTTTTATTATTATAGATGTAATGAAGATTTTATCATTATATTAATTCTTTTTTTTAAATATATTTTATTGATTTTATACAGAGAGGAAGGGAGAGAGATAGAGTGTTAGAAACATCGATGAGAGAGAGTCATCGATCAGCTGCCTCTTGCACACCCCCTACTGGGGATATGCCCACAACAAAGGTACATGCCCTTGACTGGAATCGAACCCGGGACCCTTCAGTCCCCAAGCCAACGCTCTATCCATTGAGCCAAACCGGTTAAGAATGAGGCATGGGATTGCAGGCCTTGATGAGGATAAGAACACACTGAGTAAAAGAGAAACAGATGTCCATGAGAGGGAATTTTGGTAAAAAAAAAAAAAAAATACTTCCAATTTTAAGATAACAAGATAGCAGAGTACATGGTGAATAACAGCAACAGACTCCTAATCGGTCTTTCTGCCTGTCTTTGCCTCCTCTACAGTGCATTATCCACACTGCCCAAAATGTGATCTTTCTAAATTAAAGTCTACTCATCTGTCCCCACTGAGATTAATTCAGTCAGAAGCCAGTTCAAAAAAGTCTTCGTTATCACCTCCCCTATCCTGCTGGTTAATACCCAATTCCTCCACAAATCAATCCGGCCCAATCTTATACAAGCTTTTCTAGTTATAGTTCTCATACTATGTTTCACTTTACAAGTCTATTTCCCACATTAGATTCTGAGTGCCTTAAAAGCCAGAACCAAGTTTTAATCACTTTTAAATCCATATTTCAATGTCTTTCTGATAAATTCAACATTTAGAAGTATCAGCTCTGACATTTCCATTTCGGGTTTGCTTGTGCTTCTGTTATTACCTATTTTTACATATATATATATATATAAAATTATATATATATACATACACACACACACACATATATATATATATACATATATATATATTTCAGAGAGGAAAGGAGAGGGAGAGAGACAGAAACATCAATCATGAAAGAGAATCATTGACGGCTGCCTCCTGTACCATCTGAATAAACCTGCAACCTGGGCATGTGCCCTGACCAGGAATCAAACGATGACCTCAAGGTTAAATCGCTGTATGTTTCTTTGGTGATAACTCTTTAGGCAACTTGTCCATTTTTGTGAATATTTATTTAGTTAAAACTAGGTAGATAATATAATCTACAAATACACTTAGTCATGCTGTATTATGTGATCATATGCTGAAGCAAATATTATAGCTATAGAAGGCTCAACAGGAAGAAGTAAGTTTTTTTTTTCAAGTTAGGTAGGTCTATACCTTTGAGGCAGAGGATCCAGAGTTTTCTTCTCTAACAGTGGATGTGGTGTTGTGAGATTTCTGTAGAAACAAACATAGATTACAGCAAATACACCTATTGTGAAGGTAGGCATCTACAAAGATAATGCTTAAAAATCTAAATATGGACAATTAATGGGGGAAAAAACAAGATTCCTAATTACATATTTCCTTTTCCATATTTCTCAAATAATTAAAGATATGTGTAGTATTTTGCATCTAGGAGATTCATTCTACTGGAGTTATCTTAGAAAAAAGTGGTTGTGTCGTCACCACCACCAAGAATAACCGAACACAAAGAAATCTTTGTTATCTGCTGTTCCTTAAAATGTCTTTAGAGCTAACCTTTCAGACTTAAACAACAGCCACTGCTTCTGTTTACTGCTGGTATAGTAAAACACTGAATGAGTTGTGTGGGCTCATTTCATTGCCTGCAGGGCTGCATTTTCCCAGCCCTAATGTAACAAAAGGGCACAGCCCACACAAAAAACACACACTGTTTTCTTGAAATACTAAGGTCTCTCTCTCTCCTTGCTTGCACCTGTCTTAACTTAATTCAAACATAGGCTATATCACGAAGACTGCATAAGAAATTACTCAGAATCATGGTGTGTGTGTGTGTGTGTGTGTGTGTGTGTGTGTGTTTTAACAAATTTCACATCATATTCTCATTTGTTATTAAGATTCGCCACGTTGAATCTTTTAAGGATTGTTCTGTCTCACTCACCATTTTCTACTTCTTTGTGACCTCCGCTTGGCACTCTGTGTCCTGGGCATCATACTTCGCACACAGTGGGCACCTAGGGTGGACCCTGTGAGGCAATCACAAAGTCCTTGGAGGCAGCCGATAGTTACAGAGCTTCTGCTGGGGGTGAAGTCCTCAAGGTGTTCAAATTAAAGAACTGAGAGCATCTTCCAAAACCGGTTTTGGCTCAGTGGTAGAGTGTTGGTCTGCGGACTGAAAGGTCCCAGGTTCGATTCGGGGGTCAAGGGCATGTATGTTGGTAGTGGGCACATCCCCGGTATGGGGTGTGAAAGAGGCAGCTGGTCGAAGTTTCTCTCTCATCTATGTTTCTAGCTCTCTCCCTTTTTCTCTGTAAAAAAATCAATTAAATATATTTAAATCTGTAAAAAATCAATAAAATATATTTTTTTAAAAAGAACTGACAGCATCTTGACGGCAAAGACGGTCTTTTTAAAGCATGGTATCTCTAGCACCTGATTCAGCTCTGGTACACAGTAGATATTCAATAATGCTGAATGAATGAATGAAAACCGGCTCTGCGGGACACTAAATCAACCCCATTCTGCCACTTCAGAGACCAGCGGGCGCGGGTACAAGATGACGGGGAGCTGTTGATTCTAATCACACAGCTACTGCATGCAATTCTATGTTCCTACATCCAAATTTTTTTTTTTCTCCAAATTAGAGGAAGGGTCAGAGTTGTCTGCTTTTGGTCCTCTGGGACTAAAAACAACGCTGCAGTCTTGCTGTGACCCCCGCGGCGCGCCCCTCCCAGCGACACCGACCTTCCCTCGGGGCGGAGCGAGCCGAGTTCCCGGCGCGCCCCGCGGCAGCGCCGCGACGGTCCTGAAGGGGTCGCTGTTCCCGCGAGAACCTCCACACAGGCCCCGCCCCGCGGCCCCGCCCGCTTCCTCCGCCGGGAGCCGGACCCACGGGCCGGTACGCCGCTCCGCTTCCGGCTCGCCCGCCGCGGCCAGCGCCGACGTTGGCGGCCGCGCTCCGGAAGGGACGGGCCCTGCGTCCCGGCTGCGGCGCCTGGGCTCGGGGTGGGGGCCGCTGGGAGGCGCTCGTTCTCTCCTCGTCGCCCCACCCTCTCTCCCCTCCCCCCCCACCTCCCTGGACGGAAACGACAGCTGCGGCCGCGGGGCTGGCGCCGCCCCGCTCCACTCCCCACGTCAGCCCCCGCCCCTCCCGCCCGGCGCCCCAGCCCGGCCGCGGCGCCCCCGCCTACCCGCTAGGTCAGCCGCCGGCAGCTCCGCCCGGCTGCCGCGCAGCATGAACATTATGGACTTCAACGTCAAGAAGTTCGCGGCCGACGCGGGCACTTTCCTCAGCCGTGCGGTGCAGGTAGGGGGTGAGGAATGGGGGCAGGGGGCGTATCCCCCAGGACCAGGCCGGGGGAGATGCGGGGGGAGATGCGAGAGCATCCGAGCCCGATGGTCGGTGCCCTCGCTCCCGGCCTCGCCGATTCCAGGGCCTGTGTGGCCTGCGGCGGCCCGAGCCCCGGGAGATGGGCGCGGCCTGGCGCCCCTGCGGGCCTGGCCGCCGCCCCCTGCCCCCCTCCAGCCCAGCCGCCGCCCCCTGCCCCCCTCCAGCCCAGCCGCCGCCCCCTGCCCCCCTCCAGCCCAGCCGCCGCCCCCTGCCCCCCTCCAGCCCAGCCGCCGCCCCCTGCCCCCCTCCAGCCCAGCCGCCGCCCCCTGGGGGACGAAGGGAGGCGGCGGGGTGTGGAGACGGGCCCCCCCGGAGGACACCTTGAGTTCGGCCTCGGGCCGGGACTCCGCCAGCACCTCCTGCCTGGCTGACACCCCCCTCCCCCTCTCCCGCCCCGGACGCGGGTGCTCGTGTGACCTCCCTCCCGGGCGGGCGGAGGCCTGGCGAGCCCCGCTGGGGAGCCCGGAGACGGACTCTCCTGACCCCACCCCCGCCCTTTCTTCTCCTTTCTCGCACCCTCCCCGCCGAGGCTTGGAAGGAAGTGTCCCTTTCCTGCCCCTCTGCCCGGAGCGCGGCCGGCGCCGTTCCCTCCGGCGCCTCTCCCTCCTTCCCCACCCCCCCACCCCCTCAAAGGCCGTCCCGGGCTCGGCAGCCGCCGGAGACCTGGAGGTCGCCTTTGCTGAGGCCTCGGGGAGGCTGGGGCGTGGGGCTTCCCGCACATTTGCAAAACGGGAAGCACCGGCTGCAGGGCCGGGAGCCTGGAGGGGGGGGGGGGGGTGGGGAGGGGAGAGACTCGTGTTGTGCCTGTGGTCACGGGGGTGATGTTCCACATACACTCTATGGGGGCAAAGTAGCCATCCCCCGGTTACTCCGCAATCAAGGAAGTGTCAGTCCGAGGGACCCTGGACGATTTTCTGCTGTCGTCACCCACACGATGGCAGCTCGGTTAAAAATCTGCGAACAGATGTACATTCTACCACAACATGGGTTAGAAACAGTCTGGTGTTTAAGTTAATGACATAGCCACAGTAGCAACAGCGTGCTCTTTTGTAAAAGAGAAAAACAAAAATGGTTTTCTAATGTGCGTATCAAATTGATAAACTGAGATGTAAAGCAGTTGTCTTGCTTTGCCACTTTACCCCAATTTTACTGACACCGTCGATCTTACATTATTGCACTGTTCTTGGCAAAAGGATGGTAGAACTAGGGGCAATAGCTGCCTTATATTGTGTGTGTGTGGGGGGGGGAGTGAGACACTATGTCAGACATTTCACTTGACAGATTATCTTCAGTCCTTTCTGTAACTTTGCCAGGTAGATGTTATTAACCCCCTTTCTATATGAGGAAGCAGCCTCAAAGAGGTGAGTAACTGGCTTAACTTGCACGGCTAGTAAATAGCAAGTGCTGTCTGACCTACTATTTATTGCAAGCTGCTCCTCTCTTCTTGGATAAGCATGGCAAAGTTCAGGATATATAGAATGTTACAGCCTAGAAAGGGATTAAGCATCATCTAGGACACATGTGTCAAACACAAGGCCCGCGGGCCAAATCCGTCCCTCCAGGCCTTGCAATGTGGCCCGCACCGCGCTGTCATCACTTCACTCCGCTGCGTTTCCATCACAATGACAGTTTATGACTGTTCAGTAAACCATTCGGCCCCGCGATTTAGGCTGGATTTTAGATTTTGGCCCCTTCTCTGATTGAGTTCGACACCCCTAATCTAAGACATGCCGAGCATTTCAATAACTCTTAGGGCAAGTAAACCCGTAAAGGATGGGAAATTCCTTCTAAGTCTTGATTTCCAAATTACAGACTCTGCATGGTGAGTAATAAGCTAGCCACCTTAACCCTCTTCTCCCCTTCCTCCACTAAAATATGAGGTATATTGAAAAGGCATTGAATCTTATAGTTAGAGTAAGTTTTTTAATTTAAATTAGCCTAGTACCCATAGTTCAAAGACTCGTTGCAAGAAGAATGTAGTGAGTGAAGGTCTGAAATGAATTTTGATTTATAAGACTTAATGTTAACTGCAAAAGAGGCAGAGACTTTGGTATTGTTTCAGTGCTGATTCCCTATGAAGATGCTGAATGCAAATATGACACCACATAATGCCACTCTTTTAAATACAATTAGCTATAATTCAGGTGCATAATCCACACTGCTTAAATATAGGACACATAAATGGTCAATAGATACTAGATTTTAAAAATTTGTCAAAGCCTTCAAAAGATGTATTATTTTCTAAATGAATTTTAATTACTGATTGTTTCAGATTCTTTAGGAACGAATTCTGTTCTCTGTTAACTATCAAATAATTTTCAGTATTAAATACTTAATTGCATACGACATGACTGTCACTACTATTTTGAACACTGGTGATACAGTAAAGAATAAAATCAAGAAAATATCTGCCCTCCTGGAGCTCACAATCTAGCAGAAGACAAACCAGTAAATAATACATCAGGTGGTGATGGAGAAATAGGCCAGTGAGGACTGGTTAATGGTAGAAGTGATGGTGTTGCCCTGTTGTGTAGACACGGTGGTTAGGGCAAGCCTTTCTAATAGGATCAAATTCAGAGGCCTCAAGGAAGTGACAGTTTCCAGTTTTTTGAACAAAAAAGCATTTCAGTCATAGGGAACAAGAATAGACTGCAGTTGCAGGGCGTACTAGGGAGACCCGTTAGGGAGCTGTGGACTTAAGCTAGGCAAAAAGTAAAAGGTGATGTGACATAAGAGTGATAGCAGGGGAAATTCACAATCTAGCCAGTATTGCTTGTTATATTGGCTTTGTGCTGTGAGAGAAAATGAGTCAAAGGATGACTCTGGTGTTTTGGCTTGAACCATTTACTAAGAAAGGAAATATTTCAGGAGGAGCAGGCTCCTTATGTTGAGTCTGTATATTTTAAAGATATATTCTGAAATTTGTTTAAATTGTATCATGTCTGAGAATTATTTTAAAATATTTCAGAAGAAAAAATGGGAGCAGTTAAAACAACATTTGCAGAATGTTGATAGTTTGAAGCTGGGTTATGGGTTCATGTGATTTCATTATACTATTAGGCTTTTGTATATGTTTGACATTTCTATAATACTTAAAAAAAAAAAAAATATATATATATATATATATATATATATATATATGAAAATATGGTTCCAAAATGTAACATGTGAAGTTTGAAATGCTGTCTGGTAATTTTCAACAAAACATTGCTTCTCAGTATTTAGTCAGTGACTGAGTTCTTGCTCTAAAGTGAACTGACATCAGTACAGTGCCACAGTGCCAAGTTTCATGCTAAGAATGGAGTAAGAGTTATGTATGCCAGTTACTCATTATAAGTAATGAGAAGAATAGGAATGGAATTCAAGTTCATTTTTCTACCTTAAAGAATATAATTCTCTGGTTAGTCAGCTGCCATACATTTTTTCATTTTACTTAAAAAAATGTTTAATTAAGAATTGAAATGGCCTCTATTTTTTAAAAAGTAAAATCAAACTATTAAAGCATATAAATGGATCTCATCACTCCATTCTCACCCTTCTAAATGTATGTTCCTTAGTACTTTAAAATAGTATTTATGGTAAAATGTATAAATGAATATAAATATTCATTCTTTAATAGTCCATTTGGGTGGTTTTGTTGTTCTTAACTCCCTCTAAACAATAGAATACAAGTTATTTATCTTCCATCAGTTGTTACTTCATTAGTGTCTTTAAAAACATTTATTAATTCATGGAATCTGTGTCTTCAATCCAAACTCCTTTGTTGAGCATTAAATACTCCCAGCTTTATTTTTTCTTTTACTCATATATAGATATTATTCCTATTAAATTATTTTCTAATTTTAAAAATATCTTATACTTTCTAATTCTAGACTTTTGTTCTTAAGTAAATTGAATGCTCTCTGCTGCCTCTCTGTAGTCTTTTCTTGCTCTCAAGATACAACTTCAAGTCCATCTCAGACCATAGGTGCTTAGTGTGAAATCCTCTGTCATTTATCAGTTCTGTATATGGCAATTTTCTCCTAATGCGCTGTTATGTAAGACCCCTTGGAGATCTAAAATCTGTTATTCTGTGGCTTTCATATTTTTAATAAGATTGTATGTCTGAAAGAATTCTTTCTTATTCCTTTCTCTCAGCATATAACATTAGTTTTTAATTATTTATGTCATTTTCTCCAAACAAGATCCATAACTAAAATTTACTCTTTTGAATCATTTAGCATGTTAAATAATTTTGTTATTTTCATTAGTATTTTTCTAATAGTATCTGCTGACCTTGAAGTTGATTAATTCTAAAATATTAAACTTCAACTCAACTTATATTTATTGAATACCTCTTAAGGTGTTTGGCATTGAAGAATTCAAAGATGAATAAGACCTAGTTGCTGCCTTCAAAAGACTTCATAGTCTAGTCCTAATTTGTCATAATTAAATATTTTACTCTTTTTAGTAAATATCCATTTTACTTGGTTTAATAAATATTTCAAGTGTGCATATTTTAAATTTAGAATTGATATTGAAGCAAAACTTTGCTCACCATCTGTAAAATAAGAGTGTATACTGTCTAAAAAAATTTCTCAAGCTAAATTACATAGGGAGGAGGTTATATTAATTTCCTTTGAACTGACATTATGAACTTGATGATTGCCAGGTATTTTCTGATAGGGGGGAAATGTCTATAAAATTTAGTTGTACGCTTGACCTCAGTCTCCCACTTAATTTACCAAGCACTAATGGTGGGACTGAGCTGGTGATATAAATATGAGTATGATGTACCCTCAACTAGCTCCTGTCAGTTTTAATTTGGATGGAATTCCAACTTTGCCAAATACTTTATCTGAAGCCCTTCTGAAATTCCATTTCCTTCATAGAATTTAAACTGCAAATAACTTTACTGTGTCTTTCAAATTCTAATATATAATACATGTGACATTCAAAGACCATATGTTTACTCATTATGTAAAAATTCTGTGTATTTAGTGCTACCCAAAACTGTGTTTACATCCTTTGGTGCTATTGACATTAACTTAACAGACTACAAGTAGAAGATGGTTTCTTAACTTGATGTTAAAATAATTATGTATAAGTTTAGAACAGTGGTACTCAGTTTTAACTGCAATTAAAATTAACTGAGGATCTTTACAAGCCGCACCCTAGTCCAATTAAATTAGAATCTTTAGGGTTGGATTCAGCATCAGTATTTTTGAAAGCTCCCCCAAGTAATTCCAAAGTGCAGCCAAAATTGAGTACCAGTTGAGAAGAATCTACTTTATAGTTTACTAATACATTATATTCAAAATTTGTTATACATCCCCCACCCAAAGAACTTTGTTACTTTTAAAATATTACTTTAACCAGAGAATTGATGGTTAGACTTTATATGAGATAGATGTCTTTGATCACACAGCCTTTTTACTTATAAGAAAAAAGTTCTTTTTTCTTTCTAATAAAGCAGAATAGGGAATCCAGGCTCTCTGTGTTATACTGTAGGCTACATTCCTGTCCTGTAGTGAAGGAAGGATTACAGGGCCTGGCAATATGGCTGAGTCAGAGACAATCCTTTACAGTAAATACTTGCTGTCAAAAAAATTAATACTTTAAATTAATACTTTTTACTACCATGGTCCAAACATATTCTATGGTTCCTTGTCCCTGTGTTTTTATTCACAGCACTCATATCTTACAATCTCCCTCTGCCTCCTACATGGTAGTCAGTAATCAAATTAAAGGTAACCTTAATCCTACATAGAACAAACAAAGAGTGGAGAGAGACATTACCCTATTGCTAATGTTACATATTTAGGTTGAAATCATAAATTTAAATTATTATTACTTAAATGTCCAATTGTAGAAGGCTTGATCATTCCCATGACTTTATTATGATGGTGTAAGGATTTTTCTCATTGTTAATCAGAAGGTATGACATATTAAAATAACAAAATAGTACAATATTTAATAGATACATTTTTCTCTAAAACATTTTTAAGAATGCACCTACTACAGAAAATGAGTTATATCAAAAATTAAAAAGGTTTAGATATTAATGAAAATATGTATGGAGAACATAGTATATATTTTTTTCTACTGTATATGAGATGTATAATCAACATATGACATGTTTCTTGCTCTCAAGGCTTTCATGATCTTAACAGTATTACCTAAAGGTAAACATAAAATTATAATGGTTCCTTTTTCATAAGGACAAAAAAAAAAAAAAACCTATTCTTTAAAAAAAAAAAAAAATTCCTAATTACCTAAAATTTTGAATTTTACCCTTAAAAATTTTAGTTTTCAACATCTTTCAACCAAAATTAATAACTTCATAGAATTTAATGGTAATAGTTGTAATTACAAACTACAGTTGATTTTATTTCTCAATAAGATCTTTTACTAGATCCTTTTTATACTTCTGTATTTTTAACAGTGACAGGGTTTTGATATATGTTAGAAAATGCCATTTACTAAGCTGTGCATTTTATATCAAACAGTCCAAAATTCATTATATAGGTAAGTAACATAATTTCAGTGATGAAGAAGTTGAGGATCAGGCTGTTTTAATATTTTTTCCAAGGTGTCATACTCATACAAATAAATGATTTGTTGTAAATATTCATCTTTGCTCTAGTACACTTTCACACTTAAAAAAAAAAAAGTATAGTTAGAGGTACCTGTAAGATAGTATATGAGAATCATAAGAAAATCCTACCTAATAAAAGAATAGTATGCAAATTAACCATCACTCAGCTACACTCACAAGCCATACCCACCAGCCAATCAGAGCAAGTATACAGATAAACCTAACCAAGATGGCTACAGCCACAGAGAGCAAGAGAGAGGCTTGGGTTTCCCAGGCAATGGAAGAAGCCAAGCTTTCTGCCCAACCTTGCGCCTAAGCCTCCACTCAAGGCTACAAAGTTTCAACTATAGAAGGTAAACAAAACCAAACAGAAATGGCGGCAGCCACAGAACAAGCAGAAGGCTTGGCTCCACTCCAGGCTACAAAGTTTCAATTGTAGAAGGTAAATAAATTTCAGATACCAGGGCCTCCGCTTGGGTCACCAAAGGACATGTGGCTGGCCTGAAAACCACCACAGGCCTCTTGCTCAGGCCGCCCCACGCCCCAAGGGAACCCCCACCCTGATCCAGGACACCCTTCAGGGCAAACAAGCTAGTCCCCACCCATGCACTAGGCCTCTATCCTCCTATCTAATAAAAGAGTAATATGCAGATTGACCCTCACTCCAACACACAAGATGGCTACCCCCATGTGATCAAAGATCCTGCCCCCATGTGGACACAAGATGGCCATCACAAGATGGTCAGCAGGGGAGGACAGTTGGGAGGCACCAGGCCTGCAAGGGAGGGCAGTTGGAGGTGATCAACCTTGCAGGAAAGGGCAGTTAGGGGTGACCAAGCCAGCAGAGGAGGAAAGTTGGGGACTGGCAGGGGAGCAATTAGTTATCAATCGGGCTGGTAGTGGAATGGTTAGGGGGTGATCATGCTGGCAGGCAGAAACAGGGGCAATCAGGAAGGCAGGCAGGCAGGTGAGCAGTTGGAGCCAGCAGTCCTAGATTGTGAGAGGGATGTGTGGGATCAGGCCTAAACGGGCAGTCGAATATCCCTCAAGGAGTTCCAGATTGAAGAGAGTGCAGGCTGGGCTGAGGGACACCCCTCTCCATGCATGAATTTTGTGCACCGGGTCTCTAGTATTAAATAATTAAGCAAACAAGCCTTTTGATCTGAAGATTGAAATGTTTTGTTTTTCAAATAATTAACTTTCTAATTGTTGGTTCTCTGAGATATTGGGGGGAAACTTGCCCTGAAACCTAACCTGTATCAGGTAAACTAAATGACTTACTTAAATCACTTTTTATAAACATTTTTTAGTAATTTCTAGCCTATTTGTTTTAATTCTAGTGTGTTTCTAAAAACCTTAGCTGGTTTGGTTCTGTGGATAGAGCATCGGTCCGTGGACAGAAGGGTCCCGAATTTGATTCTGGTCAAGGGCACATACCTTACTTGGTTGCAGGCTTCTCCCCACCAGGGCGTGTGTGAGGCAACCAATAGATGTATTTCTCTCACATCGATATTTCTCTCTTTTTTTCCCCTCTCTCTTACACTCTTTCTAAAAATAAATAGAAAAATAACTTCTGGTGCGTATTTTTTTAAAAATCAATAAAGTTTAACATGATTTTATGTATTGAAAAAAATAGGCCTGCAGGTTTATAATGTTTGGGTAATATTTTTCATTTAGCTCTCTTAAAATAGTTCTTAGCAGAGTGCTTCGCACAAAGACTAACCTAATAAATACTGGTTCTTAATTATGGATCTGTTTATTGCCATTTTAATCTAGTCTTGATTTTTAAGTATAAATTAAAGGCTTCTACAAAATATATATATTTAGAACCACTAATGATCCTCCATAAATGCAACTGGAAGATAAATCATCAGAGAAATGTATACTCTTCCCTTGGGTCTTTACATAGCTCATTTGTTAACATCCCATCTCAGTTGTTGCCAGTTCAGAGAGGCTATTTTTCTTACCATTCACATCTGGCAATCCTCAAACTTCTGCTCCCTCTTCCAGGTTAAGCTTGCATATCCTTCTGCCTTTTAAACCTTCTGATTCTCCTACCCTCCCTCTCCCTGAAGAATGAATTCTTCAGTTCTCTACTCTTGAATCCATTAATTCAAGCAGTTAATCATTTAGTAACTTACTTAAGGAGTAATAGGACTATCATGCTGGTCCTCTCTCTACCTTCTTTTTATCTTTGTATCCTTATTATCAAAGTATTTAATTACTTGTTTATCGTCTGGATGATCTACTGGTAGATGATCCTTTGTAGATAATGTTCACCTAGGTGTATTATCTTGTAAAGTTCTAATCTCTATCTCTACAGTAGGTCTGGGATCTGAAAAGACTAGAGTTCTCTCTCAAGATCGAGATTGCATAGTTACCCAGCTGATTTTGGGAAACTTTTGATTTTTGCCTAATGCCTCTCTTATCCTCAGTTACAATATAGTCAAGTTACTGGCTTAGGCAATACCTTTGGAACTGCTTTTCTCAGTCCCACCTATTGGGTGAGAGCTTGATTAAGGCCAATCTCAATAAGGCGTAAGACTTGACAAAAGCTATTAAAGCTGTTATTTCTAGCACCTGAACAAAACCTTGGTGAGGGTTGTAAAGTTTAAAAATAGCATTCTAATAATAGATCAACTGAAGGACTTGTATCCATGCATATAAGTACAACCAATGGACATAAAACTCTAGGGAGGGAGGGGGGGAAATCAATAAAATATGTAAAAATAAATAAATAAAGGTTTAAAAAAATAAAAATAGCATTCTAGAGGACCTTTCAGCTAAAAATGCTAAGTGATAATCAACTGAAAGTATCAGACCAAAAACAAGGATGCTGCCTGAAACATAATAAAACTCAAGACAAGTGGAGCAGGAGAAGATATTTTAAGAAATGAGAATGGCGCCAAAACCGGTTTGGCTCAGTGGATAGAGCATCGGCCTGCGGACTGAAATGTCCCAGGTTCGATTCTGGTCAAGGGCATGTACCTCGGTTGCGGGCACATCTCCAGTAGGGGGTGTGCAAAAGGCAGCTGATCGATGTTTCTCTCATCGACGTTTCTAACTCTCTATCCCTCTCTCTTCCTCTCTGTAAAAAATCAATAAAATATATTTTAAAAGGAAGGAAGGAAGGAGAGAGGGAGAGAGGAGAAAAAGCAAGGTGAACATTATATTTTGTTACCCGGAAATGAGTCATGATTAATGAGCATAGAATTAGTGCTAGTGATATGCCTGTGTTATGATGGGAAAAGCAACATCATATTCTAGGAAAAAAATTATTCATGATAAGCAGGCTGAGTCATCACTTCTAGTATTTAATGAAAAATATCCAGAAGTCTTCATAAAATCTAAAGAGAAGAAAATCTTTTTACTTCTTCGTTACTGTATGTGCAATGCTGCCTTTCCTGAAAAACCAACACGAGATAATATACATTGAGTATATTTAACTACACTTTATGATCTTTAAAAGATATCTTCATAGTATGAATAGGATATATTCCAAAAGTTAGTGTACCCATCAATTGCTAGAACATACCCTGAAGAAACAACTTAAATTATTGTTTTTCAGAACATTTCATAAAAGCCTATCTAACTAGGTATGAGTGAAGTGCCAATAATATAATGCCACATTAAACATAAACAGCCCTTTTTAAATTCATTAACAATGATCAGGCATTGAACAATGTGATTTACATACATACTCTTAATTAACTTTCAAAGTACTATAAGATATAATTGGCTCTTTTTTATGATAGAGGATACCTAAGGAAAAAATTTTCAGAAGCTTGCTCAGGTCACACAACATTGCAGTCAGGGTATGAATTCATATCCATCTGACTCAAAGCTCTTACTCCTTACTATTATGATACCTATATCAGTCAGAAATATTTATATACTCTATATATCAAACAGTGTGTTCGTTTTTTTAGGGGTTTTTTAGAATTCATATCCTGCATTTTAGCAGAACTGAGAATGCATGTTAACAATAAGATAGGATTATAAGTGCTACAAAAAAAGGTATAGATAAGGGCAAAATTATTGTAGAAGCAAAAACAGTAACATTTACATGCAATGGTTTACAAATAATTGTATGTTTGGGATTGTTTGGATTTGTTTTTAATCATTAATATAGGTTGCTAAAATGTATTTGCAGTATATTTAATATTGTCTTAAAATAATTACTAACAGTTCACAGAAGAAAAGCTTGGCCAGGCAGAGAAGACAGAATTGGATGCTCACTTAGAGAACCTTCTTAGCAAAGCTGAATGTACCAAAATATGGACAGAAAAAATAATGAAACAAACTGAAGTGTTATTGCAGCCAAATCCAAGTAAGAAACTTTTTACCTTTTGTCTACCTTATTGACTATTCCTATTTAAAAAATTCTGTTAGTAGGGTTTTTAATGTTAAAAAAAAAGGTTTTAATTTCTATTGGAAAACAAAATTTTTTGTTTATAGCTTTGAGATTATGGTTATTTTTTATGTGTCTTGCTTAAGAAGACATTTTTTTGTGTATCACCTAACAAACTGACAACATTTTTAGGCTTTTGTAAAATCTTCTTGAAAATTCAATTTCAGGCAGTGACTTTGAATTTTAAGAGATATAAAGGTCTATGAAAAGAAATTAAATTGCTCTTCCTGTTTCATCCAAGGGAGAATTATCCCTAAACAATTAAAGGGAAAGTTATACCACTTGTTTATGTTAAGTTTTACGTTTTTACATAAATTATTCCATTTGATTTTCTGACAACCCTAAGCAGATCACTATCTAAATAACTTTGCAAATAAAAGGCACCATACTTGTTTATTAATTGAAACTCACAAGGTAGCATTTTATATAATTTACCATAGCTAATTAGAAGGGGAACTTGAACTAGAACCAAGCACATTGACAGTCTTTTCACTGGAAACTTACATATCAAAATTGAAGGACAAAGACAACAATGCATGCTTTCCTTCCTCTTTTCCTCCAATGTTATTGTGACCGCCTTGTGAGTGCCATAAACTTGTTTTTAAGTACTTAAAATTCCAACTTTGTTGCTATTGCATAAAAACTCAAGCACTGTGCAAACTATTAGTAATTATTTGCAGTTTTATGTAAATTGCAGTGACTTTTTAAACTAAGTTTTTTATACTTTGAGGCCTAGTCTTTGTTATTCATTTAAGGCTACTTAAATTATATACCGTGGCACCAAAAAAAAAAAAAAAAGTAGAATGTTTTCCTCTTATTCCTTGCTCTATCCAGAGTTCCTTGGCACACATAGTCTGTTCTAAAACATGTTTTCCAGAATGGCAAATAAAGTCATGCATGACTAGTAAACAGGAATGGTGTTCTTATAAAGAACTTATAATGGCTCATAAGTATTATTTTATATTAGTGTTTTAATTCAAAAGTAGTAACAATTCTTTTTATTTTTTTATTTGTGCTCTGGTTATAAAGTTACTTAGGTTTTGTGTGGTTAAACCCAGCTATTTTTCTGTAAGTCCTGTCATTTTTAGTGTATGATTTTTTAGAACTTAGTGTTTTTCAGAAATATATATTAAATTATAACAGAGTTGCCTAAATGTGTTTTAAGACTTAGTGAAATGAAACATTTATTTTAAATTAACTGAATGAAATCAACATGGGATTTATACTTTTTACCAAATAGGTAGAAAATAGCAAAGCTAAGAATTTTTGTGGTGGTCAGAAAATAAGATTCTAAAACTTAGGTAACATCATCAAAATGATTCATTTTAAACTGACTCATTTTGGTTTTAATTCATTTAATGTTTTTTAAAATCACTGCTTAAAAACTCTCCTGATACTGTACCAGTGTCTACCACAAAAGTGTATTTTATGTTTTTATAATTAACACTTTTGCCAACTCTTAGAAGTGTTTCTGTATTGGTTTAGCTTATTTTTGAAATTTCAGTGCACTGTGTAAAACTTACACTTGTGGAGGAATTATGTGAGATGCTTAAAAGGAACATATTTAACTTCTTTTTGGATTATAATTTTAATTTCTATTTAATCATAGTTTCTGGAAATTTGAACTTTTTCTCATTTGTCTCTGAAATACTTGCCACTGTTAGGCAGCAATGTAAATGTGAGTTTCTTGAATATTACACTAAAATGTTTATTCATATTTTTCCCTTTCCCATTTATACTAATGTTCTATAATTGCCTTTAACCTTTTCTCTTGTATTTTAATCTTATTTATAATGGTGAAATCTTGAGTGAATACATGCTCAGAGGTATCTATGTATCTACAAGTACATACTTTAAATATAATTAAATACAATTAAGCCAAGGCATCATATTGCTGATTTCTGTCTGCAAACTATTCCAAGCCTGGATTACTCTATTCTTAAACCACTATGCCTATATTTAGACGCTAGGAAGGAGAGTCAACTTTGAGCAAGCAAAAGCCAAAAAAAGGTGTCAGAAATATGTGACTCTTTGGTTCTTAAAGGTACCTTATATCCATATTTTCATAGTTGAAAAATCCTGCTTTTAAAATTGAAAACATATATCCAGAGTTAAAAGTTAGCCATTATATGAATGGGGCAAATGCAATTTCACTAAATATAAAGTGAAATTTAAGTTCCAGCCCTTTTTTGGAACTTAAAATCCCATAAAATACTCATAATGGTTTTACTGTACTTTAAAATATTTTTGTTCCAAAATATTTTTCATACAGTATTTCTAAAATAGTAAGTTTCTTAGAGCTATATAATACTCAACATATAAATAAAAAATTATTTTATGTAATAAACGGCTATTATGCAAATGGACAGAACAGCGGAATAACTGGTGGGTGTTATGTGCACTGACCACCAGGACCACCAGGGGGCAGACACTCAACGCAGGAGCTGCCCCCTGGTGGTCAATGCTCTCCCACAGGGGGAACGCCACAAGCCAGGCTGATGCCTGGAGCGCAGCAGCGGTGGCAGGAGCCCCTCTCCCCAGGAGCCTCTCAGGCCTCCACGGCAGCACTAAGGATGTCCAACTGCGATTTAGGCCCGCTTTCCAATGCCCTACTGCAGTTTAGGCCCGCTCCCCGTGAATATCCCCTGAGGGCTCCTGAGCTGTGAAAGTGCACAGGCCAGGCTGAGGGACCCTCCCACCCCCACCCCCACCCCCACCCCTTGGTACACGAATGTCATGCACGAGGCCGCCGCTAGGATATTAATATAAGTACTTGAAAGCATGCTAATTTCATGTTAATTTTACAGGACGATAAATGGCTGGTAGTGGAACAAAAGAGTCTTTTAAATAGTTATATTGTTTTGAAATTGGTAATTTTAAACTTTTCATGTAGATGCCAGGATAGAAGAATTTGTTTATGAGAAACTGGATAGAAAAGCTCCAAGTCGTGTAAACAACCCAGAACTTTTGGGACAATATATGATTGATGCAGGGACTGAGTTTGGCCCTGGAACAGCTTATGGTAAGTGAGAAGCAAAAGGTCTATTTATCTTTACTTGTAGATTTTTACTACTTAAGAGACATCATTAACATTTACCTAATATTCGTGGAATCACTTTTAACTTCAAAATTTTTATGTTAAAATTTTCAATGAAGTGAGAACTATTGGTAAGAAATAAGTATGTTCATTTCAATTTAATTTAATATATTTAAGCATATATTATTCTGAGCTTTCATATGATCTTTTTATGTTTAAAATGTTAAGTGGATTCTTCACTTGCACTCTTGCAATATCTCTGTTGTGGTACTTAAGATACATTGTAGTTTTTGTTAATATAAGTCTCCTCTTTTTTTTTTTTTAAAGCTTTCCTGAGGGCTTATTTATTTCTATAAAAAAGTACCTGACACATTGAAAGTGTTGGAATCACTATTGCTTTCATTACACATAATGTCATTAATACAAAAATGTTAACAATGGTTACCTCTGGATGTTTGGATTACATTTCATTTCCATTTTCTTCATATAGTTTCATTTTTTTATGATCATGTTTTACAGTTTCTTCAGCTTTGTTGTTGTGCTGACTCTTTTAATGTATTACTCTGGAACTCAAAGTTATATATTACTATTCTTCAAATCTAATTTTCTCAGAATATACGGCAATTTTGGATTTCTATAGCTTTTTTCCTTTTTCTCTTTCTTTTTTTTATGTTTTATTGATTTTTTACAGAGAGGAAGGGAGAAGGATAGAAAGTTGGAAACATTGCTGAGAGAGAAATATCCATCAGCTGCCTCCTGCACACGTTCCACCAGGGATGTGCCCATAACCAAGACACATGCACCCGACCAGAATCAAACCTGGGACCTTTCAGTCCACAGACCGACACTCTATCTACTGAGCCAAACCAGTTAGGGCTATAGTTTTTTTCCTGTTGTTCAAGTCTTTTAAGACTTCTGCAAGAAATTGGTTTTAAAAATTGATATGAAATTCTAGGTAAAATAAATGATTTTTATATGTAGTCCTGATTTATGAAATAGCTCATAAATTCTGGAACTAAATAAACTTTACCCTGTTTCCCCGAAAATAAGACAGTGTTTTATTGGGTCTAGTAATAATTAATGTCGTTTTTAAACATTCGTTTAAAATCTTGCTTGGCGTTGACTTGTATTGACATAACCTTCAAACACGTGGTATCTACAGAACGTGTGAAGTGCAATTAATAAGTTTTGCTTGAAAAAGTTTGTGTTTGGTTTGGTTTTTGTTGCAAAACTAGGGCTAAGAAGATGGCGGATAAAGAGCATATTCAGCACTGCATGCTTTACGAGTTCCAATTAGGAAGAAAAGCAAGTGAGGCTGCAAAAAACATCTGTAGTGCTCTTGGTCAAGATGCAGTTAGCGCCAGAAAATGCCAGCGTTGGTTTGAGAAATTTCGCAAGGGAAATTTTTCGTTAGATAACAAGTGTGGTCGAGGCCGTGTGTCCAATTTTGATCAAGAAGCTCTTCAAGCTCCTTTGGTGCAAAATCCTCAAATTACCCAACAAGCTTGCAACAACTTTAAATTGTTCACAAAAAACAATTTCCAATCAATTGCGTGCACTTGGCAAAGTCCAAAAGTTTGGAGAATGGGTTCCTCATGAGTTGACCGACAACAACCGTAATCAAAGAGTCACAATTTGCAGTTCGCTCCTCTCTCGTCAAAACCGTTTGCCGTTTTTAGAGCAAATTGTTACCGGAGATGAAAAATGGGTGCTGTATGTTAATTTGAAAAGGCGGCCTCAATGGTTGGACAAAAATGAGGCTCCGCAGCCCACGCCAAAACCTGACTTGCATGCGAAAAAAGTGATGTTGTGTGTTTGGTGGAATTTTAAAGGAATTCTTCATTATGAACTTTTACCATCTAACCAAACCATTACAAGTGCAGTGTATAGTGCCCAATTGGAAAGGTTAGCCCAAGCTTTAACAGAAAAAGAACCCGCGCTGATTAATCGGAAGGGTGTAATTCTTCACCACGATAACGCACGACCGCATACTGTAAGAATCACTGCTGAAAAACTGTGCCAGTTGGAATGGGAAGTTCTCCCTCAACCTGCATATTCTCCTGATATTGCCCCTTCCGATTACCATTTGTTTCGTTCTTTGCAAAACTTTCTTCTTGGAAAAAAATTTAATAATGAAGAATGCCTCAAAAATGCATTGACCGAATTTTTTGCATCAAAATCACAAGAATTTTACAACAGAGGGATTAAAATGCTTCCTGAGCGTTGGGCACAAGTAGTAGAAAACAACGGCAACTATATTGTTGATTAAATTTTGTTGTATTGTTTAAATAAATTCGATTTAAAAAAGTATTAGAAAACGACATTAATTATTACTAGACCTAATATATTGAGTATATATATATATAAAAGCTTAAGCTGCTGGGCAGCTATTCGACTGTTCAACTGGTAGCTATGACGTGCACTGACCACCAGGGGGCAGATGCTCTGGTGGGTAGGTCAACTTGCTGCTGGGGTCAGGCCAATCAAGACTGGGCGAGATGGGCTGGACATGCCTTGGAGCCCTCCTGCAGTCCCTCCCTGGCCCCAGTCGTGCACTGGTGGGGTCCCTCGGCCTGGCCTGTGCCCTCTTGCAATCTGGGACCCCTCTGGGGATGTGTGCAGGCCAGGCCAAGGCACCCCACCAGTGCACAAATCCGTGCACCAGGCCTCTAGTACTTTTATAAACAAATCTACACTATTTGAGCTGTGATAGTACATACTTTTCATTGTATCCATCCTCTTTTGTCGCATTGATGGAATTAGTACAATTAAATGATGAATTTATCTTTGTCATTTTTACTAAGATATTTATAATCTTACTAGAAGCCCAATGCATGAAATTCGTGCATGCAGGAGAGGGCGGAGTGGGAAGGGTATCCCTTAGCTCAGCCTGCAGTCTCCAATCTGGGACCCCTTGGGGGATAACCAGCAGTCTGACATCCCTCTCACAATCCAGAACTGCTGGCTCCTAACCACTCGCCTGCCTGCCTGATTGCCCCTAACTGCTTCAGCCTGCCAGCCTGATCTTCCCTAACTGCTCCACTGCTGGCTTGATTGACCCTAACCACCTCTGCCTTAGCCCCACATCCAAGACCCAGGATTCCCTTCACCAGCCGACCACAGGCACCTGGGATCTGGGCTTCCCTCTCTCTGGTCAGCCATAGACACCCAGGCTGGCTGTAGCTTCGGGATGGTGGGCAGATGGTTTCTCCAGTGCTGCAGCCGCAAATGCTGGCTCTCAGGACCACAGGGTGGGCAGCGTCTCCATCTCTCAGGCCACAGTCAGACGCAGGTACTGGTGCCTGGTACTACAGGGTGGGTGGTTTTTCCATCTACCAGACTGTAGCCAGCCGCAGTAGCTGGCACCTGGGCCATAGGCGGGCAGCTTCTCCATCTTCCTTAGAATGCAGTATGGATGACTTCTCCAGCTGGCTGCGGCCTGGGATCACAGGGCAGGTGGCTTCTTCATCTCCTGGGCTATAGCCAGCCTCAGTTGCTGGCACCTGGTTTCTGTCTCCACCAGGATGTGGGCCGGGCAGACATGAGGCTTCTGCTGCTGGCTGAGCCCTGGGATCATGGGGCAGGCGGCGGCTTCATTTCCTGGGCTGCAGCCAGCCTCAGGCACTGGGGCCCCGTTTATCTGTCTTCTCCAGGACATGCGGCGGGCAGCTTCTCCAGCTGACTGCGGCCTGGAATCATGGGGCAGGCAGCTTTTTGGTCTCCCTGGCCGCAGCCAGCCTCAGGTGCTGGCGCCCAACTTCTTGGCTTCCTACAGGCTCAGAGCAGCTGGGGGGGGGCAGGGCCCTGCCATCTTTTCAAGTTAATTTGCATACTCTGGATTGGCTGGTGGGTGTAGCGGAGATACAGTCAATTTGCATCTTCCTCTTTTATTAGTGTAGATTACTTAAAATAAAACTGCCTTAACTACAGTTATTTCTGTTTGTTTTTTTACTTAAGTAAACAAGTGACAGATCACATTGCTGATTCATGTTGACATGATTCTGTTTTCGACATTAACAGACAATGGTTTAAAAAAAATGTTTTTTTCCTTTTCAGGTAATGCTCTTATTAAGTGTGGAGAAACACAAAAACGAATTGGAACCGCAGACAGAGAGCTGATTCATACATCAGCTTTAAATTTTCTCACTCCTTTAAGAAACTTTATAGAAGGAGATTATAAAACAATTGCTGTGAGTTGAAAAGTGCTTTAATTTTTAGTAAAATATTTATATATATATATATATATTTATAGTTTTTAATGAATAATTTGCCATCTTAACTGTATAGATGTCACAGATTAGAAATTTCAAATAACTTAGGTAGGTATGTATTTAACAACACAAAGCTAATCAAAATGAAGGACTATTGATGATATGGACTCCATTTTTGTGTCCCTGTTGTGTTATTGAGATACTCTTATATCATTCTTATTTATTATCAACGTTAAAATATAGAGAGAGAGGTTCCTGGAATGATTATTAAAATATGGCACAAAATATCACCATATTATAGCCATATAACTATTCATTTAAAGTGGAAGCCAGAAACCAATTATTAGAAGCTATATTTCTGGCTATTAGACTTCCTGTCCTTTTGCATCGCTAGAAGTCTGTTATTTTCTTTTCACATAACTGTGTTTTTTCCTGACATGTAAGAAATAAATATTACCATTTTCCCAAACCTAATGTATTAGTCTATTATTAAGTGATGGAGGATGGAGATTTAGGTAGCTATTGTTTTCTAAGATTATTGCAAGACTGCTCTAATTTAAATATTAGGTCAAACATTACTTACAGATTTCTTATTATAAAATATTACAGGAAACATATTTATAATGAATTTGTCTCTAAGTAAAAGTATTTGGCCTGAGATAAAGGAAAAATCAAGTTGAAATACAATTTAAAAGATACTAGATTGTCAATGGGATGAAATTTGATAAATGAAATCTGTCTAAAAATTAATAAAACAAACACTGCCTATTTTACAGAAGCTTGAAGTTCCCATGAGGAATTCTATGTTTATTCATTATTTATTCTGTAAGCTGGAATAGTAGAGTTGCTCTCCATGCTATGGTACGTGTGATCACAGAAGATATCAAGCAGCTTTATACTAGGCCTATACTTCCTTTATCATAGGCACTTTCTAGATAAACTAATGCTGTGAAAAGTTTTTCATACCAGTCTGGCTGGTGTGGCTCAGTGGTTGAGCGTTGACCCATGTACCAAGAGGTTATGGTTCGATACCTGGTCAGGGCACATGCCCTGTTGCAAGCTTGATCCCCAATGTGGGGTGTGCAAGAGGCTGCCAATCGATGTTTCTCTCTCATTGATGTTTCTCTCCCTCTCTCTGATTTCAGTAAAAATATTTAAATTTTTTTTTTTTTAATTTTTTCATCTTGGACACTACTGACATTTTAGACTGAATAATTCTTTGTTGTGGAAGCTATACTGCATTGTGGGATGTTTAGCAGCATTCTTGGCTTCTACCATTCAATACTAATAATATTCCTCCCCCAATTGTGATAACTAAGAAGATATTACCAAATTTTTCCTGGGGAGCAAAATCCCTAAGTATTAAGAATAATATTTCTTTGTATTCACTGTCACCTGCCATCTTGCCCAGATATCTAGAATGTCTCTATTGCTTTAAAATTGAGAACAGTAAGAAAAGGGAGTTAAATACTGGATAGGCAATTTTGTAATTATAGATCTCAGTTTATCAGATGATTCATATATTTTATGGAAAATAATACTTTAAATACTAATGTAAAATAATATTTTTAAAGTATGCTCTTACTGGATTTTAACATCATTAGCCTTTATATTTTTCTTATAGAAAGAAAGGAAGCTACTACAAAATAAGAGACTGGACTTGGATGCTGCAAAAACCAGACTAAAAAAGGCAAAAGCTGCAGAAGCTAGAGCTTCAGTAAGAAGTGTTCTTTAATTTAAAAAACATTTTAAGTTAATAATTTTCAAACTTGTAAAATATTTTACTCATATACAGTATAAGCTACAATTTGTCAGTAAGACTAGAATATGACTTTAGGATGTTGTTTTTGTTATCAGAACTAAATACATCCAAATCAGTGCAAAGTACTTATATCAGCAGGCAAGGTTCTTATTTCAGTGATACCCTTGTTGCTAAAAAACAAAAATTATGAGAATTATGAGCTCCTCAAGCAGTGTAATGTTACTTAAATATCCTCAGGCACTGGTGATGCAAATAGGTTTTTTGGAGATAGATTTATTATATTTGAAATAGAAAAACAAATAGTAATTAAGATGAGAATGAATCACACTAGAGAATGCTTATATGTGGCTTAAAAGGTAGATGTAATGCCCCTTCCACGTGTGACTCAAACTGATTAAAGGAGTTGTCACCAAGAATAGTTCCAAAAACATTCAAACAGTGGCAACATGAACTGACGGGTGACTGCTTTGCAGGGAAGGAAGCCTATTTGGATAAATAAGTTCTTGTATACTTTTCATAAAAACCATCTCAGATAAAACCGAGTGGGTATATTAAATATAGTAATTCAATTATATATATGTATATATACACACACATATATATAAAACTTTGTAGAAAGGTTTTATTTATAAGCTTCTTATTTAACCTAACATTTATATTGTTTAAATCTTTATTCCAAAGTTTGAAGAGATGAATCAGATTTGAATTAGAACAACTTTGTGATAGTACAATATAAACAAATCTGGATTTTTTTAGAGGACGCTAATAAGTTAATTCTTAATTTGAGCTAAGAGATATGTTTTGTTAAGAGCCTTACATTCCCACTGCCCTCTGTTCACAATTCATTACCACTACCATCACTTTGGGAAAGAAAAGACTGAGACTTGATTTTGAATGAAATTTAAAACTGATAACTTGGTATTAGACAGTGATAACTTATGAGATTAATCCAGTACCTTGTATATGTGAAATAAATTATTTTCTCCTATACTGTTCCCCTTTTGGAGATTCTATATTAGTTATTGCAGGAAAAGAGCTATCTTTGACAGGACAGTAATTCCAAATTCATTGTCAATTTTACCTCAGAATTATTCTGACATCATCTTCAGGAACAGCCTAACTTCCTTAAATAGGCTTTTTGTGTTTACTTAGAGCAGTGGTCGGCAAACTGCAGCTTGTAAGCCACATGCGGCTCTTTGGCCCCTTGAGTTTTTAACAAAGGCCAGCTTAGGAGTACCCTAATCCTATCTAATAAAAGAGTAATATGCAAATTAATCATCACTCTGCTACACCCATAAGCCATGCTCACCAGCCAATCAGGAGCGAATATGCAGATAAACCCAACCAAGATGACTACAGCTTTGGAGAGCAGGAGGGAGACTTGGGTTTCCCCAGCAATGGAGGAAGCCAAGCTTTCCGCCTGCCCTTGCCAGCCTAGGCCTCCAGTCAAGGCTACAAAGTTTCAATGATGGAAGATACATAAATCCAAACAGAAATGGCAGCAGCCACGGAGCTGGAAAGAGCAGGAGGTTAAGGTTGCCCCCAGTGATGGAGGAAGCCAAGCTTTCCGCACATCCTGGCCAGCCCAGGCCTCCGCTTAAGGCTACAAGTTTCAATTGTAGAAGATAAACCCCAGATACCAGGGCCTCCGCTCGGGTTGCCAGGGGGCATGGCCGGCCTGCAAACCACCACAGGCCCCTCACCCAGGCTGCCCCAGGCCCCAAGGAACCCCCATGCTGATCCGGGACATCCTTCAGGCAAACCAGCCAACCCCCACCCATGCACCAGGCCACTATCCCATCTAATTAAAGAGTAATATGCAAATTGACCATCACTCCAACACACAAGATGGCTGCCCCCATGTAGTCAAAGATCCTGCCCCCATGTGGACACAAGATGGCCAACAGGGGAGGGCAGTTGGGAGGGACCAGGCCTGCAAGGGAGGGCAGTTGTGGGCAATTAAACCTGCATGGGAGGGCAGTTAGGGGTGACAAAGCTGGCAGAGGAGGGAGGTTGGGGTGACCAGGCCTGCAGGGAAAGACAGTTGGGGGGAACCAGGCCTGCAGGGGAGGACAGTTAGGGACAAACAGGCTGGCAGGGGAGCAGTTAAGAATCAATCAAACTGGCAGGGGAGTGGTTAGGAGGTGATCAGGCTGGCAAGTAGAAGCTGTTAGGGGCAGTCAGGAAGGCAGGCAGGCAAGCAGTTGGGAGCCAGCAGTCCTGGATTGTGAGAGGGATATCTGACTGCCCATTTAGGCCTGATCCTACCAGGCCTAAACCGGCAGTTTGACATTCTTCAAGGGGTCTCAAATTGAGAGGATGCAAGCTGGGTTGAGGGACACCTCCCCTCCTGTGCACAAATTTTGTGCACCGGGCCTCTAAGTTGGTAACAAATGTACCTACCTATATAGTTTAAGTTTTAAAAATTCAGCTCTCAAAAGAAATTTCAATCATTGTACTGTTGATATTTGGCTCTGTTGACTAATGAGTTTGCCGACCACTGACACAGAAAAATAGAAACTGTCAGAAATTTGGGTTTGTTTTATTTTTTCTTCTTTGACACATTTCCTAGTTCTAAGTGGCAGCTGAAGAGGTTACTCTAACCTCAGACTTTCTTTGGTTTTACTTATTTATAAATTTCCATAGATTGTTTTATGACTAGTTATTTCTTTGAATGGGAAAGCTGTGGGTAATCAGAAGGGCTTTCATAGTGAACATTTTAATGAAAATTATAGATAATGGCAGCAGTTTTTAAAGTGATGCATTTTCCCTAAGTGATTTTAATTTTAAATCAGGCATCAGCCATATTTTTTTTATCTTTGAATATTTGAATCTTTTGGAAAAGTAGAATAGGTACCACTGAAATTCCATAGAACAAATAGAGGGTTTTTTTTTAAAGTAATAATACCTGTTTGTGTGTGCTTTATTGTGCAGAAATAACTTGTTTCACTGTGTTCATTGGTATGTGTTCTTTGTCTCTTACCTATGTATTTAAGCAACTAAACTCAGCTCACCTTGAAGGAGATAACATGGTAAATTTCTCTTACATGCTCAATTTCCTGCATGTAAAATGGCTAAAGGTTTGTTGGCCTACTGTGTTCTCTACATCTAGAAAAAAGTGCCTTCTCCTGCTATCATCTGCATTTAATGGTCTAAAATATTCAAAGCCATGCATTCATTAGTTTAACAAAATATATGTGGGATAATAGCTTAAGTAATATTGAAACTAAAAAGAAAGAATGTATTCTAATTGCCAAATATATTAGCTATGCCAAATTCAGATTTTACAGTTTGAATTTACACACAAATTTATTGTGCCTTTTATGCCCTATAAAAGATCTTAATTTAGCTGGCACTTTATATGTTTACTTTTGGCAAAGAAAATTAACAAAAGTAATTTGTTAATTTTCTTAACAAATTTTAAATTTACTTAACTTAGAGAAAGGTATAAGATATACATATTTACTTTGTTTCTCAGTACCTTCAACGTCCCCTTAATTTTCACCCAAACTCAACACAGAATGAATTTGTTTTGCAATTCCAGGCCAAGACAAACCCCAATAGTAACTCCAATAGTTTAGGTATTTATGTAGTGGCAAGGCCCATTCCTCCATATGATAATTTACTTAAGAAAATTGCAGAATAGAGATAATGGTAGACAAGAATTAAAAGTGAGAATTGTTATATGTAGTATCCAGAGTATATATTGAGCTTGATTTGAGGAAATTTTAGAGATGCTAGGATTTTTTTAAAATATATTTTTATTGATTTCAGAGAGGAGGGGAGAGGGAAAGAGATAGAAACATCAATGATGAGAGAGAGTCATTGATTGGCTGCCTTCTGCACTCCCCCTACTGGGGATTGAGCCCGCAACCCAGGCATATACCTTAACTTGGAATCAAACCGGTGACCTCTTGGTTCCTGGGTCAATGGTCAACTGCTGAGCCACACTTGGCCAGTTGGGAATTTTTTATTTTTTAACATAATAGAAATATGAAAAATCTGAACACTGCCCAAATCTTAAAAATGTTATCTAGTAAAGATTTATGAGTATTTGATACATTATACTCCTAGATACATTACTTCCACAGAAGTAACAGGGAAATTGTAATAAAGTTGATAAATTGGCAATTAAACTAACTGCTTTCATTTTCAATATTAGCATTGAACTAAAAATAGGAGGCGAGGGTAAGGTAGGAGTGGGGGGTGGAATCCATGAATTCCTGACTAAATGAGGGCTTTCCTGAAATAGCAAGAGAATGCATTTATTTATTTTCATTGTCCTATCTGTATGAAAATGAAAAGTGTGAAACTTTCTTTCTGTCATTGGTAAGTTAGTATATAAATCATAGGTTTTCTTTTGTAAAAATATCCTTACCAGTTAGCAAGACTGTTTCATTTATCAGGCATCTGTCTTATTACTAATACCATCTACTTATAGTAAGATGTATTTAACTCTGGTAATTTTAAATTCATTATTTAGTATCTCTAGTTTATTGCCCTCCCTCCCATCCCAATGACTTTATCAGTGTTCAGTGTACATTTACCTTTGCTTTATTTTAATTTCCTAAAGTTGTAGAATTTTAAGCCTAATGAGGAACTAAAAATCATTTGGTCCAAACTTCTCATTTTATAAATAAGAAAACTAGAATTAAGAGGGGTTAAATATTCCATTTTAGAAAATTGTTATTCTTATTAATTTATAGAATTAGTATAAGATTCAAAAATTGATAGTATTTATACATATAAAGACATACTTTCACAGTATATTAAGCTGCACTAATTTAGTTACTGCTATACTTCATCTAATAATGTGATGCTGAGAAAAGGAGTATGCCATTTGAATTAAAAATATTTGCATTTCTCTATACTAAGTTGTAGAAAATGTTAAATTCCAACTTTCATGTTGTATATTTTTTTCTAATTTTTAATGCTGGCTAGATTTGGGCAGAGGAAGTGACAAAAGTAAGTAAATTATTAAACTACAGAATTATGAAACAAATTTAATTGTCATTCACTCAGAATATTGGATGATAACTGTGGGCCTAGACACAGTCTTTGTTACTGTGTCTTATAAAATCTGAAAATGATTATGGAACACTCAGGACCACAGAGCAATAGAACAGTGCTGCAGAGATATTGTTTGCGCACACTATTGATACCTGATAGATTACGTGGTAATTTTTATAGTGCCTTCCCAGAGACATTTAAATACTTGGTTTATTCATATGGCAATTATGTAAAATATAGCTAACATCATATTCTCTGTGTTCATGTCACACAAATACATTTTTTAGGTAACTGAATCTTGTTCTCTCCAACACCAAAGCTTATTTTTCTGTCACTTTAGTTGAAAATTTTCGTAAAAAAAGTATTTTGATGCTTCATTAAACAGAATAGCATATATTGAATTCTACTTAAAGTTATGGTCTTTATTATGAATATTCATTGTTATACTGTGTAACAATTAGGTCTTTTGTTTTTGAAGTGTGTTGTCTTCTTGTCAAACTATCACTTTTAGAAGTTGTCCATATGTCTGCTACTAGCCTGTTGTCAGTTCTAATATTTCTGGCCTGGGAAATCAAATAACTAAGCAAGAATTTAATAAATAAAATCATGACTTTAGTGCAAATTTGTTTCAAATGCTATTGGAAATCTTTCGAAGCATTTTTTATTTTTATTTTTTTTGTTTATTTTTTGACTGAAGGATTGCTGACTATATGGTCTGTTTTGTGCATAGGTTATGGAGCTGTTGATTCTATGACTTGGCAATCCACTGTGAAATTCTTAACTTATGCTCTCATCCCCCTTTGTGGAATCTACTCATCAGTTTAGCTAGAGTTCCAGCCTGGACTCTGATTTCTTTTAGAACTTCTAGCATGAAAATATGGCAGAGTAATATAGAAGAGAATATAGGTTAAACAAGAAAACCAGGGTCTCTTCCACTTTGATTAGCATGCAAGTATACGTAAAAATTTTATTTGATTCATTATCTTACAACTTTGGGAAATATCTGACATAATGGGAAACAACTCATGAAACAAATATTTATATTACGTATACATGAGAGGAACTTAAATATATCAAAATTGATTTTCTTCTGTAAATCTCAATTTTTTTCATAATTTAAAAGTGTTTATATTTCTGTAATATTTTAAGATTTAACCCCATAGGATAAAGTAAGTAACACTGACCAAAAGTTTATCACAGAAAATACATGATCTAAATTTCTAGCTGATATTACAAATCAACAAATTCTTGCCCTTTTCCCAAGTTACATCTTAAAAGAACTCTTCTTGCTTTTCTGATCCAAGTTATGCTGTCATATACTCTAGATCAGTGGTCTGCAAATTCATTAGTCAGCAGATCCAAATATCAACAGTACACAACTAAAATTTCTTTTGATAGCCAAATTTTCAAAATTAAACTATATAGGTAGATACATTGTTATTAACTTAATTGGGGTACTCCTTATATATAAATATATATAATGTCATATTTATGCATTTCAGTTCTCTATTATGTGTTTTGAAATTTTATTTGCTATTTTTTCATATCATTTCATATTACTATATTTTTAATAGTTTCTTGGTTATTTCTTCCTCAGTATTTGAGCTGTCCTTTTGTTCTTTCACTTTTCTCTTTCATGAATGCCATATTCTTTGGAAGCTTGTTTAGTCCAAGTTAATGGCCTTGTAGACCTCCTCCACGTGAATAGGAGTTCAACTTTTTGAATAATAAGAATTATAAATCACAGCAGGGGCATTGGAATTTTAGAAATGCTTCGGTGGGGCATGGCCAAAAAAGATTGGGAACCACTGCTCTAAATCAGTTAGTAGTATAGTAATTCTAAGCAGTAAGCCTTTTCCCTAGAACTCTACCTTTTAATTGTAAAGTTAAGTCAGGGAATGAGATCTGGAGGACAGAATAAAAACCTTTTAAGTTTATTGTCTTTCTTTAAACCCTTTTTACCTGTCTAGTATGGATCATTTTCTTCCTAAGTAAATTGATTATGTTGAACCTAATTTCAGTTAACCTCTGCCTCTCAGATTCAATTATATGTGTAGAAATAGAAATTATTTGGGACTTCCATCTGCTTGCAACTACCCCAGTACACACTTAAACTTGTTTTTGTTTAATGAGATTTTTTTTTCTTCCTATCATTTACCTTTTCTAAATATAAAGTCTAGGCTGCTCAAACCTGGAAGAAAGGTTTCTTCTAAGGATTGTTATCCCTTATCCTTAAGATTATGTTATTTTTTTTTATTCATTGTTTTAGCTTTAATACACTAGTGCCACATCTCCACACCAAATCATCAAAACCAAGTTCTTTAATTTGTGAACCTTGAAGCCTTCTTAACAACCTCACTCTTTGGAATCCGGTGTCATCACTAACTCTGGTTATGCTTGTGTAAGGCAATCAGGGTAGCATCCCCTTAAAGGAAATAAGTTTGAATCCTCTTTTCATATTTGACTCACTGCCAGGTTATTAAAATTATTTGAAAGAGAAAAACAAAACAAAACAGTGTTTCTACTTCAGACTCAAGCTTCCAGGACACTTTTAATCTGCTTAAGCATACTTGTTTATACCTTGTACAAAAATATTGTCAGTTAGTAGGCTTTCTGCTATTTCTACTAAAGGTTATTAATTCAAGTTGTACATGGAACTAGTCTCATGTTTTTATTTTTGATTTGTTATGGTTACTTCTATTAATCAAAACTTTGCATTCAAGCAAGTAGAACAATAGTGCAAAAGCAGCTGGTCGATGTTTCTCTCTCATCGACGTTTCTAGCTCTCTATATCTCTCCCTTCCTCTCTGTAAAAAAATCAATAAAATATATTTAAAAAATAAATAAATAAATAAATAAATAGTGCAAAAGCAACACTGAAGTCATTTTCTTTAAGAGCATTGATTATTTTCTTCTCCTGGGACTTTTTTCCACTTCTTACTAGCTTGCATATGAAGGTTACTTCAGCCCTGCATCAAAGCAGTGTGTCTTCATTCTGGTTTTAGTCAAGTAAATTTAATTTTAGCACTTGATTTATTAAGTAATGTAAGCTTATTTCTATAAATCCAATCTAATGGTCAGTTCTTAGTTCCCTCTGCCAGGCCTGTTGCCAGTGAAATTAGCATACTTAAGCAACTGATTTTCTATTTTGCTGCTACTTCCTTGTTAATTGGCTCAATAGGCTAACTGTTGCCACCAAGACCGAAAGAGAGGGAGATGGGGTATGAAACGGGGAAAGTTCAGACCTTGTTTTTATACTTAGAGTAGTATTACATAATCCTGGAAATAATTGCACTTATTTGGCTGAGTGTGGGAAGCTATTTATTCTGGAGAATATCATTATAATAACACTAGAGACCAATGTATGAAGAGTCGTGCCAGAACAGACCTTCCTTCTTTTGGCTGTCAGCACCACCTTTTTGCTCCAGTCCGGACTTGCCTTTCTGCCTTCCCACTCTTCCCATAGGCCCAGAGCGGCTGGGGTGGTGCAGAACACCTACACAGTAGCCATGGCAACTGTGCAAGTGTCCCACCCTGCCCCCAACTGCTCAGAGTCTGTATATGCAAATTAACCCACCATATTTGTTGGGTTAATTTACATACTCTTGATTGGGCATCGTAAAGATATGGTCAATTTGCATGTTACTCTTTTATTAATGTAGATTATTAGTAATGATGTTTCCCAGTGAGAATGCTATATTTTGAGAGATCTCCTCTCTTACTACCAACCAACTCTTGCTAAAAGTTTGAGAAGATGGTTTTGCCAGAATTTACTGTTTTTATATTATGTTGACTTTTTAGTGAACTGTTCTGTCCCAGTGCTAAACCTATATCAGTGGTTGAAGCTAGGAGTAGAGTTCTATTATACAAACACCTCTTTCCAATTCCAAGTTTAGGGACTTCAGCGTGGTAGCTTGAAATCAACTGTGTAGGAATATTTATAACATGAAAACAACACATTAGTGCTTTTTTATTTCCACTAATTAAAGGTCACCCATTACTTACAGAAAAACCCTAGCATTTCTCTTGGGTAATATTTCATGCAAAGTTTGGAAAGAAAACTTAAAGACATTTATGTAGGGAAAAAAATCCTTAGAAGAAACCTAAAAACTATGTTCTAGAAACAAGAATATGTTTGGTAACTAAACACCAGAGGGGTTAAAATCCTATGGTTTTGTTCTGAAGTAGTTCTTTTAATATTAAAGACTATCTTTAAGTTCAAAGAAAAGTAACTATAGAAGTAGTTGAGGACTTTTTGAAATATTTTATGCATGTAAACTAGTGATTTTAAGATTTTGTAAAATGGCAGATTTGGTACTTGGAAATATATTGATTGTCCCATAGTAGTTTTTCTAGACTTTATGTGTATGCCATTAAGCTTTGGCATTAATAGATTCTTTTTAGCCCAGTACTGGAAAGAATCAGTTCTGTCTAGATTGAGTAATATAGAAACACTGTTTAGAAACCAGGGACCAATTTAGATATAAAAGCAGAATCAGAGAATTACCAGATTATCATTTAGGATCTGTTTGGGGATTTTCTTAGACAGTCTGCATAAATGTATGTAAAATGGACCAAGTCCTCTTAATGAGGTTCTAAAACTATGTTCCAATTTAAGTCTGAACAGGAATTAAGAATAACTCAAAGTGAATTTGATCGTCAGGCAGAGATAACCAGACTTCTGCTAGAAGGAATTAGCAGTACACACGTGAGTATTCATTTATTGGAAATTCATTTGGAACAAAAAATTTTGATAGTCCTCTGGCAATTTGGGGAAGAAAACATGAACTCCCTTTTTAGTTATTTATGAGGAAATTTTAACTATGACACTTTAAGATATATGAAGAAATATTTTAAATTTTTATTTACACCCTATCACCTAGTTCTCCCACCATAATCAACCATTTGTTGTTTTTTGTTGGCTAACCAGTTTGTTGTTATACTGTTGGCCATGGTCAGTTTTAATAAGCCTTGAAGTAAAGTGCTAGATACTAGTGATTCTCCCTGAGTACAGTGTTGTATTCTGTTTCCCTTATGATTTACCACTGTAAGTAGATTATAGAGCTAAGAAGTGACTGTAACTTTTCTTTACAGGCCCATCACCTCCGCTGTCTGAATGACTTTGTAGAATCCCAGATGACTTACTATGCACAATGTTACCAGTACATGTTAGACCTTCAGAAACAACTGGGAAGGTGGTAATTTTCTTTTCACATGAAAATCCTGATAAGAAAAGAAATTCAGGTTTTTACTTATAAAGTAGTATTAGTGGTGAAGATTAGAAAAATTAAAGGCTTTTATTAGTGTGCTTAAAGTCAGATTTTTTATTTTTGTAATTTTTTTTTTAATCCTCAAGGATATTTTTCCATTGATATTTGGAGAGAATGGAGGAGAAAGGGAGAAATAGAAAGAAGAATCGGTGTGAGAGAAGCACAACTGTTAGTTGCCTCCTGCATGAGCCCAACCAGGGCCCGGGCCTGGAAGGAGCCTACAGCCAAAGTACATGCCCTTGACCTGAATTGAACCCAGGACTCTTGAGTCCACAGGCCGACACTCTATCCACTGAACCAAACTGTCTAAGGCAAAATCAATTAAAAAAAAAAAAAGTAATTATCAGACTTCTGAGATTATAAAAAACATTTTGAGCTCTTCTAGCACAGAGGAATGTTAACAGGGATGAGAAGATAATTGAAGTGAATACCTTTATAGCTCTATATAAAAATAGCTTTAAGATTGTTTGAAGTTTACTTTTCAAGGAATAAGGCCAAAAAAAAATGTCCTCAACACTTTGAGGTTCCTTTCTGCATATTAATCTTTCAAAACTAGACTTAGAACAAAATTAAGCACATTTATAAAGCCAATTTTAGATCTTAATGAATTGTAGTCTTATACCATTAGTTATTCTAATAGGATTTATAGAACGATTTACACCCCTTTCATATTTAAAGTTTTGTTAGTGATATTAATATCTGAAATCAGAATACCATTTTCTTTCCCACATCACTATAACTATTTTAAGCCCAAGAAGCTTTAGTACTTCCTATTCGCTTTGTTGTAATACTCTGGAAGTGCAACAGAGGAGCTGCTATTGTTACCATTCATACTTGCTTTCTGCTTAAAACCACACAAATGCTTGGAATTCAGCCATTCAAACAAAATGTAGTTTGCTTGCTGCACTTTAGGATAACCTCAAACATTACAAAATGAAAATAGTGCTATTATTCTGAGAAAGAATGTCTAGCCTGTCTCTCTGCCCCCAATGAATTATATTAGTGGTAATGACCAATGATTGAGAGTGGGAAAATTTGTACGTCTTTAAATGTAGAATTTGAAAGTCATCCAAATCCATAGTAACAAATTCAAGAGCGATTTCTGAAGAATATATACAGGTTGTAACGCTAATGGCTAAAATAGCAATGTTGTTAGTAGAAACGGAAAAGCAGCAATCACTTAGGAAGGGCTCCAATGTCCCCAGACACTCTTTTAGACAGCTCATATGTAATAATGTCATAATCCTCACACCAGCGAGGTAGGTACTATTATATTCACATTTCACAGATGAGAAAACAGAAGCATTTCTCACAAGATTAGTAAATGTATTTTATTCTTAAATAATTTGGAGGTTTTAACTTATCAGCTTACTTCAGGAAGTCTTGTTTTGTTTTGTTTTTATTGTGTCATTAAAGTTCCTAGAAGGTGAAAAGGTCTTTCAGGTTTTTTGGTTGGTTAGTGTTTTGTTTTTTTCCATTAATTCCCCAAAATTGACATAGGTAGACTTTAATGGCTAAACAAAAGCTAAACATACTAATACATTTGAAAGTAAAATTCCATGGTTAGTTTTAAAACCTCATAGGTGGAGAGAGAGGGCTTTATTTCTATCTTCAAAAATGTGTATATTTAATCACTGCTGAGGACTGAGTTCACTCAGAAAGGGTTGCTAGGAAATGTATTCTTAACTTTAGAGGGAAATCTAAATTAGAAATGGAACCTACCTTCTATTTGGGGGAAGAGAGAAGTAGAAAAATATGTATATGTGAATTTCATCATATTTTAGAAGGTGATAAATGCTATAGAGAAAACTACAGCAAGCTAATACCTTGGTTAGGATAGTGTTTGTCAGGGAAGGCAGCGACTTAGAAGATGTAAGGAAGCAAAATATGCAGCTTCTGAACGGCAGCGCTCCAGGAAGGGTACAGCAGGAACAGGGCTGTTATATTAAAGCAACAGCAAGGAGGGCTTGGTTGGAGATGAATTGAGATGGAGCTAGAACACACAGAGCTCTGGAAGCCACTGTTTGGACTTAAGCCTGTATTCAGATAGGAGAACTCTCTATAGGGTTTTGATCTGAAGGGTGACATGATTTGATTTTAGCCTTTTAGAGAATCATTCTTGCTGCTCTGTTGAGGATAGTTGTTAGAGGGCATGGGATGGAAGCTGACAGACCTCGTTGGAACCTGTTGGAATGATTTAGTCAGTCAGGAGATGATGGTGGCTTGAATGTGGTGAAAGTGGTCAAACTCTGGTTGTGAATTTTAAAAGTAGAGGCAGTAGGATTTGTTGACAGACTTCATGTGCATGAGGCTTAGAGGAGTCAAGAATTACTGCAAGAGGCATAGTAGACTAGACAGCACACTTTGTCATTAAAATATCAACATCTATAAGTCTCTATTCACAGTGAAAGTTGGTAGAAAATAAACACTGCCATCAAGTGGTGGTATTCAGGAGCTTTGGTTGCTTGAAAATAGTCAATTAGCCATTTTCTTTTCAACAGTTTTCCGTCCAGTTATCATTGTAACAACAATCAGACTTCCGTGGTACCTGTACCAGCTGCTTCATCAAATGTGATTGGTTCTTCTGCCATGACTTCAAGTGGCCTAGTAATGACCTCTCCTTCCAATCTTACTGACCTTAAGGAGGGCAGTGGCAGCAGGAAGGCCAGGGTTCTGTACGATTATGATGCTGCAAACAGTAGTGAATTATCACTTCTTGCAGATGAGGTGAGTAATGTGGATATAAGAAGAAAACTGTATTGTAGATGGACCTATCTTCTAGTATTATAACAAAATGCATATTCCTCATTAATCATTTGGAAATAGTTTATCATGAATGCTTTCATAGATTTCAGATGGTTATAGTATTTTATAGAATTTTAATTACTATTCTTTAACAAACTATAATATCACATAAATATTTAAAGCTTTAACTGCTAAATAACTGGAAGATTTCTAAAACTGCCTCTAAAAATATCCTTTAACTTTTAGCAAAATTGACAATAATGTTTAAAGTCCTTTGATAGTGAATAGTTAAATACAAATCTGATTAATTTTCTCTGTGTTTGTTTTTTAACATAGTAACTGGAAATATTTTTATTTTGTAGGTGATCACTGTGTACAGTGTCGTTGGAATGGATTCAGACTGGCTAATGGGAGAAAGGGGAAATCAGAAGGGCAGGGTGCCAATTACCTACTTAGAACTGCTCAATTAAATAGGTGGACTATGGAAAGATTATCCATCTTGACACCGTATTTATATACAATTAACTCTAAGTAAAGCAGGTTTAGTATCTTCCATGTTAATGTCTTAAAGAGACTGAAAAGAAAATACCAGCGATCGGAAACCGGCTTCCTGCCAATAAAATTGCATGGTAACTATTTCATTACAAAATTTATGTTAGAGCTTTCCTGCCAAGAATGTTTTCTTACAAAATTCTCTTTCTACTGAGGTTTCACTAATAAGCAGCTTCTACTTTTGAGCCCCAACTTAAAACAGAAGAACTGTTTTCTACTGAATTTTTCATTAATGGCAAACTTTTTCTTTTCTGTAAAATAAATTTATTGTGAATTGATATCAGTGACTCATTTATTAGGTATAGCCAAAGAATAAAATTAAAATTTGCTTTTAACTTTTGGTTTCAAAAGAGATCTAGGATATAAACCTCTTTTGTGAAGAATGTTTCTGAATGTTTCCTCGAACAAAAAATGCAATTATATCATGTTTACCTTGTTTTCCAACAGAAGGTGAATGATTTCAATATCATATTTTGATGGGGTATTTTGAGAGGGTTTTGTTTATTTTATTAAACACTACTGAATGATTTAAATTTAAGAACAACTAGTCTTTGAAAAGCACTATCATATTTCTCTGGTATATTTGCAGTGAAGGTTCTAAAATATCTGAGGCAAGTTCAATTCACTAAGGAATGTTTTAAGATTGTTTATTGGCGTAGTTTAATGCATGATCAGAATTGGATTCATTAAGAACATATTGCAGTACAATACAGAGAATTTGTTCTTATTGAACAACAAATCATCTTAAAAATACAGACTAGTGCAACTACGTTCATCATAAAGTATATATAAACAATCCACTTGGTTACTCTGAGCTTACTAATAAAAATTTTGAAATTTATTAATAAACTTAGTTTATCTTGATCAGGATCTGTAGTTATCAAAAACACACTACTGAAATTATTAGTGACACAGTTTGAGTCAGAAAATTGTTATTTAGACCATTGCTGTGAATCAACAGATTGTTTCCATGGTAGAACTTCTGTCATTCTTATTTTATCATTATTTGTTGAGGTCCAGGTACTGTGTTAATAACAAAATGCAAAATCAGTGTCATTGTCAAGATAGGATAAGGTACTATGTTTTGATGCTTTGGGAGTCACCTGATTGAGATTTGGTGAGTGGGAAGTGGTTTGAAGAGGAAGTGCTTTAGAGAGGAAAAGATGTGCCAGGCCTGGAACCAAAAGAGTATATAAAACAATTCTGACAACGGACAGTAAGTCAGGCTAACTTACACAAGAAGTGCAAAGATGTAGCTCATTTCTTCAGGGAATGTTAATGTATCAAAATGATTCTTTTTGGGTACTTTAAAAAATGATAAATACTTAACACAAAAGAATATTTCAATATGGTGTTTAAGAGTTCCTAATAACTTGGTAAACATGTTAATTTAGCTCATTCTGAACTTTAACAGTAGTTGTTACCCTTTTATTTTGGTGCTATGAGACAAATTACTCTGAGATTTTATAGTTGTACAAGACACTTTGATTCACACTGTGAATTGCCATACTCAAGTCAAAAGCTGCTCAAGCTGGTTACTTAGTGATAGAAGCAAGTGAGCAAAGCTTCCCCCCCGCCCCCCCAGAAAGAAAGTTCTAGACAGCGTAGAGTACTACCTATTATGTTTTATAAAGTCAATATTTAGGCTTTAAAGATCATTAAAAAAAAAAATGCAGGCCAACTTAAAACAACTGTAAATCCAGTTTTTAGGAAGTAGAGTGATTAAGGGGGGAGAGCATGACCACTGGATTGGAATGGTCCCTGGATTCAAACCCAGTCTTCCTTACCCACTGTGCTCTTGAACTTAAACTCAGATGATGCATGAACTGCCATTTCCTTATTAGTAAAATGGAGATAATTATGCCACCTTAAGGTTATGACCATCTTATATGTTAGGCGATTTTTAGGGAAAGTTTTGGCACATAGGAAATTCTCTAAATACCAGTTTTCGCTTTTTAGCCCTTGTAGCTTCCTGACCTATCAAGACTGGAGACCTCATTTATGATGAACCAGAGATACCTCTTTTATATACATGATCTGATCTGTTCTACTCTTGTCCTATCCTCCACCCTCTTTGAATCAGACTCAGATCTAAGTTTAACCTCACCACAGTCAGTGTAAAATTTTATTTGAACCTTCTGCCTTCCTCTAAATGAGTATTGACTATAGTAACCCAGTGATGTACATTAGCCTTCAGTGATATTATGGTTCAAAGGCTTCTTGTGCCTTTGTTTACCACAAATCTACTACAACATGTGGGCTTGTTCTTCTGTTTATTACTTTTTATTTTATTGGGTTTCTGTGTGATTGATTGTTGGGCATGGGGGTTAGTTTTATTTTGGTTTTGTCTTATTTTGTAAAGTCATAGGTTTAATTTTTACTCAAGTAAAGGCCCATATAGGTTCTTTAGGCATAGAAGAAAAACTTGGGAAATCTATTAATTTACGGTGCAATTCAGAATTATTTAAATAAACTTTGTGCCCCTGAGCGTAGATATAGTAACATGTGAAGGATACACACGAATAAAAAATAAACGTGTCGATAATTGTAGGCTCTCTTACAAACAAAGATAAGTGGTTGGATTGTCTCTACATTTGTCCTCAAAGTAATCTAACCTAAAAGTCCATGGTGTTAAATCATTTTTTATGGTGCTAATTAAAAGAATTCATGTTATAGGAGATTAGGGAACTGGGAATGTGCCTCACTCTGGGTAACATGAGAAATAAACCTGAATCTGGTGGGTTAGAGTCCATCCTCCTAGGCCGCTGTTACTTTCCCCCAGAACAAGTGAACGGAATGTGAATGTAGGAGCTGGTGTTGGGAGGACATTTTCTGAGATTAAGTTGCGGGGAGGGTGATGGAGTGTTGGGGGAGGGTGATGGAGTGCCGGACAAGAAGCTACAGCTTTGTTTACTTAGGCTCAGCTTTGTTGACAGGAGTCCTCAAAAATCTGTACCTCCCAGATGCCTGAACTTTTGAAATACATTGTCATACTATGTAGCACTTCAAGCCTGGGTGAGGAGCCATAATAAATAGATGGCTTTGCAGTTTGACCTACAGCCAGCTTTGTTTCAACCCCTTCTCCACCTCTTGGGACTCAAAAGGGAAGAGGGGTTGTGAAAGCATACTAGCCCTTTTCCCCACATTGTCCTAATTAGGAATCAAACTCAGTAGAGCAGTGGTTCTCAGTGTGAGGCCCCAAGATTGACAATAGCAGCATACTTAGGTACTTGTCAGAAATGTTAATTCATATTTCCAAGTACTTTCTACATTAATTTGTACTGATTTTTTTTTTCTTCAAGGGGCTGTAGAACTAGTCTTAGTTCTTCATGTAACATTTTAAGACAAAAATTGTCTTCTAGTGTTAATCAAAATTATAGTTACTTTTATAATTTATTTGTTTAGTATATATTGATCACTTCAGAATGCAGGCTTTCTGAGATGCAGACCATAATTCTTTTGATCACAGTTGTTAGCTTAAGGCCAGCACATAATGTGTACTAAATATTTGTTGTATAGGGGGGGGAAACAAAAGCTGTTTCTAAGCCATATCCAAGATCTACTGAATCAAACTCTGAGGTAGGGCCTAGCAATCTGTTTTTACAAACCACATGGTGATTGTCCTGGTAAGGTAGAGAACCACTTCAGTAGAACAAAGAAAACTTCCCTGTCACCTTCAAGCCTATTACCTGACATCACTTGAGAAATTTCTGCCTTCTGCACCTGTATCAACAGTGCTGTCTTCAGTGGAGAGGAGTCTTGCTGGGCTATGGTAAACAGTGGTGTGAAGGTAGAGAGTATGGAATGCCGGTACTTGGTTGCTGTAGAAGTTAGTGGGATAGTCTGAGAAGGGTAAACCCACCACCCTGTTCTCATCAGTGCAGTGGCAGTTAGACATCATAGCACCTCAACAAACCATTATAGCGGTGTTGGACTAACATTTGCCTCTCTGACTGAGGTTGCTAAACTCTGCTCTCATTCCCACTTCAAAGGAGGCTTGTTTAGGAATTGTTAATGCTTTCTAAAAGTCAGATGTGTTGGTAAAAAGGAAAAAAAAAATGTGAAAATATAGCTTAAAAGATAAAAATAACCTACAATAACCACCATCCCATGAGAACTGTTACTTAGGTGCATAGCCTTCCAGACTCTTCCATGCTTTTGTAGATATTTTTTAAGTGGGATCAACTTGTACATACTGTTTTGTAACTTTTTCACTTGACAACATCATGACCATCCTGCTGTGTCAAATGTATTGCTGCATCTTTTTTAATGGCTGCATGGTATTCCATCATATGTGCCACATTTTATTAAACGACTGTCGATTTCTAGGATGTTTCTAATTTTTCACTAATAAACTGCTTTAAAGAACATCGTGTTACTAATCTTTTATGTGTTCTTAATATTTCCTTAAGATGAGTATGTGGAAGTGTAATTGCTAGTGAAGAGAATTTGCCAGTTTTTAAAGGCTTTTGTTATTGCCACTTTGACCCCTAGAAAATTTTATCAATTTATACATTTTTATTAGCAATTAGAGGAAACAAAATTGTTTCCTTTTGGAGGGCTTCCCACTGAATGTTCTTATAACCTTCTATTTAGAAGTAAAGGGTAAGAGTAAGATAAAAGAACTCTGCAGCCCTAGACAGTGTGTTGAGTGGTTGGAGCGTCAGCCTACACACCATAGGCCGGCGGGTTTGACCTGGTCCCAGTCAGGGTGCCTGCAGGAGGCAACCAATCGATGTGTCTCACATTGACGTTTCAACTCCCCAACTCCCCACTCCACTCTGTCTCTCAAAAGCAATGGAAAAAATACCCTCCAGAGAGGATTAAAATAAGGACTCTTCAAAATTGAAACCAAGATTGATCTTAAATTATAATGACATTACATAGTTTACTGCTCTACATTCTATTATGTATTTTGTCATTCTTTGGGAATGTTTGTAGTATTAGTTTGCCTCTTGCTTTTATTCAATCTGGAACCACTATCCCCTTTCTGACTTTTGCTGAAATGGTAGGAACACAATCTTCAGTAGACTGGAATCTTGTAAATTTGATGCAGGCTTATTGTTGGCTTGGGGAAGCATGGCTATAATAGAGAAAAGAGAAACTCTGGAGGGCAGACAGAACCCTGGCTCTCCTACTTGGTTTTCGGGCTTTGTGTTAGTCAACCGCTTTGAGTTTGCTTATCTCTAGAAATATAAGCCTCTGTAAGGTTGAAAGGAGTAGCCACATTATAGATAAAGTGCCTAGCACTTACTAGTAGTAGATAATAACCTATTAG